TCAACTTTGGTGTTTTTAAATCATCTGTTTAATAACTAAATGTGACTTGACTTGGCTGACTCTGATATGATATGAGATGTGATGCTGTGCGTTGTGTTGCAGCTGTGTGGTGGATGAGATGGACTTCTCAGGGATGGACCTGGACGACGCTCTCAGGAAGTTCCAGGCTCAGATTAAAGTTCAGGGAGAGGCTCAGAAGGTGGAGCGGCTCATCGAGGCGTTCAGGTGTGTGTGTGTGTGTGTGTGTGTGTGTGTGATGTGTACAGTGTTTAAACGGAGATGGGAGAAGTACTCAGATCTTGTACTTGAGTAAAAGTAGAAGTACTCAGATCTTGTACTTGAGTAAAAGTAGAAGTACCAGAGTGTAGGAATACTTGTAATGTTACAAGTAAAAGTCCTGCATTCAAAATGTTACTCAAGTAAAAGTAGAAAAGTATTATCATCAAAATATAGTGAAAGTAGCGACAGTAAAAGTAGTCATTGTGCAGATTGGTCCATTTCAGAATAATATATATGATATGTTTTAGAATGATTGATCATGAAAGTGTTCTCAAAGCTGGTAAAGGTGCAGCTAGTTTGAATGACTTTGTATACTACAGAGTAGCTTGTGAATTTACTCCAGGTGGAACTAAAGTCTGATTTAACACTTGATTATATTTCACATCATTCATCCAGATCTGTAAAGTAACTAAAGGGATTAAATACATGTAGTGGAGTAGAAGTACAACATATTATAAAATGGAGATACTCATGTACAGCACAAGTCTCTCAAAATAGTACTTAAGTAAATGTACTTAGTTACTTTACCCCACTGTGTTTTAACGTGTTCTTCCTGTCTCCTCTCAGTCAGAGGTACTGTGTGTGTAATCCCACGCTGGTCCGGCAGTTCCAGAACCCGGACACCATCTTCATCCTGGCCTTCGCCATCATCCTCCTCAACACGGACATGTACAGCCCCAACGTGAAGGCGGAGAGGAAGATGAAGCTGGAGGACTTCGTCAAGAACCTGAGAGGTGCTTACAGGCAGAAAAGACACACACACACTTTAGTCCCCTTATAATAACAGAGCAAGTGTTTGTGATGTCACTATGTTCCTGAGGTAAACAAAGGAGTCCAATGAACGCGTTTCAGGAAGGGAATGTCTGTTGGAGAAACTCCCTCTGGAGGGAACACAAGGATTTCAGAAAAGGACTCACACACTTTAAACACAAACTAGTAGTCCCCTTATAATTAAAGAGTGTAAAAGTGTTACATGTTGATGTCGTATGTTACGGACGTAAAAAAGTCAATTCCATCTGGAGGGAACTTTTAGATGTTAGCCTTTGCAGACCATCTACATACGCCAAAACCTATAGAACACATTACAGGAAAGGTGAAACCCCCCAAAAACACCATAGGGCCTCTTTCATTTGACAGAATATCGTTCCAGTATCCGTCTACGTCGAAGGAGAATTTTATTTTGAAGTCACGCTGAGCCCCTCTAAGCATTTCTGCTACCGTCTCATTCTTATTTGCCTTGAACACATGTCTCCTGTTAAAAGAGCGAGCATCCAAACATTAACTGTGATAAAGTGTTGTGTCAGTTTGCAGCTGCAGAGATAATGAACTCTCAGCTGCACATTAACATCACGGTGATCTGCTTCTCTTCAGCGTCACTGACATGTTTTCTGTTTCAAACGTGGAGGCTGCAGTTTGTTTACTTCCTCTCTTGTTCCCTACGGTGTTACTCCAACACTAGCCTGCAAGCTGCTGTCAATCAAACACGGTGCCCTAACATCCCTCGCCCCCAAAACAAAACATTTCTTCATTTCAATAATACAAAAAAACCATTAAGGATGAATAAATATAACCAGGTTGACTTCAAGAAGGGATTTAACTAAAACAACTCGTTTTTTCTACATAAAGTTTCTGTAAAACGAGGACGTTTTGAGCAGATTTGTGTCTATAAATAATGCATTAAATGCTTTAGGAAATGTTAATGAAATTCTCTTTTGGTACTAGATTTTTTTTAAACATTCAAACATATTTTATAGGTTCCTTTTTTTTTTATTCAGTGTTTTCTTGTCTCTGACGCATGCCGATATTATTATTGCCGGACGAGAGGGTCATATAATATCTTCCTTTATTCATTGTTTCCTTAAAGTGGACCTATCATGCTATATTTGAATAATATAGTGTAGGACCATACCTATATAAGGCATATTTATACTTTTTTTTTTTTCAAAATACCAAACAGATCATGCATTTTAGCCATGCCTCATTTTGCTCAATTTGACATTTTATAGCTCTGTTTTTGCAAGGGCAGATTCAGTGAGAACAGCACCACCTACAGGCCTGGCATATGTACTACAGCGTCTCCAGCGCTTTCGAACGGCAATGGCCGTGGCTGTCTCCTCCTGATTGGTGGAGTTGGCCCAATAGCCGTAGCGCCACCGTCCTGACGTTAGGACAGTGTTCAAATCTGGATCAGTTTTTATCAGATCCGTTGCAGCCCCTTTTTTAGAGATTTGGGTATGGAGGAAAATAGAGAGGGTTGTGTTTTCTGACACTTGGTCAGTTCCCTGGAACACCGGGGACACATATTCATGTATAAAAGACGTACAAAAGTGCATTTTGCATGATAGGTCCCCTTTAACTTGAGCGATTTTTTAATATCTCTTTATCCCTCTGGGACGAATAAAGGTATTCTAATTAATAATCCAAACATTACAAATATATATTTTTTTAGTTTTCTCCATTTTAAATGAATGAAATCTTGACCATATATTTAAAAAGAAGTTCTCTTCCACCACTTCTCATCAATAAAACCTTTACAGGAAATACCCATATTGGGAACCAGTAGCCTAAATGGACTATTTCTGATTAAGCTTCTGTGATGCATCTTGTTGCCTCCTGTATTTGATAAACGTTGCATGTTCCAATACTTTTTGCATCAGATGCACTTTACAATTGATCATTTGTTGTTTAAAGCAAACATCATTTCCTAACCCCCTCCCTCTGCTTGCCCCCCTCCCCTCTGAAGGAGTGGACAACGGGCAGGACATCCCGCGGGACCTGCTGGTGGGGATCTACCAGCGGATCCAGAAGTGGGAGCTGCGCACCAACGATGACCACGTGTCCCAAGTGCAGGCAGTGGAGAGAGTCATTGTGGGCAAGAAGCCTGTGAGCAACATACAATGCTTTGTGACATGTTGCCACGACTATAGTTTAAATTTTATTCATTTATTTGTGCTGTATCTGTCTGTAGGTGCTGTCGCTGCCCCACCGCCGGCTGGTGTGCTGCTGCCAGCTGTACGAGGTGCCGGACCCCAACAGACCCCAGAGGACGGGGGTGCACCAGAGGGAGGTCTTCCTGTTCAACGACCTCCTGGTGGTGAGGACCACTTCACTTCAGTTTTTATTAATAACATTTTCAACTAATAATAGATGTCACCATGAAACCTCCTGAGTTGATAACTTTACATTAAGGGAATTCTTATTTGTTTTACAAGTTTTCTGAAATGTTATGTTGAAAAATGAAAATTATCTTATCAAATATGAGAAAAATACTAATAAATTACATTGAATAAATATATAATAATAATCACATACATTGTGCAAAATATACAACTCACGATATGAATTGCACATTAAAAGCATAACTTCTCAGAACAGAAATGTGAACATTGGATAAAGACCAGTTTCAAAAACATTTTATTTATTTGATATATTTGAGTCAAATCTCCATTAATCAGAAAATACAATACAGCACAAATATGCAAATTACGTAATGCTAACCTTTGGTGAATTTAGGATAAATCTACGGACTCAAATAGACAAGGCTCATAGAATAAACACCTACATGTACATTTTGGATGTTTTCTTTCAACTAGACTTTAAAAAAAAGATGCAATGCAAGCACAATCACAAAATCATTTACAAAATGCCATATATCTGGGCATTGAGGCTGTGGCTCAGTGGGTAGTGTGATGGACTTCGAATCAGGGGATAGCAAGTTTGAGTCCCACTGCAGTCAGCATGTCGTTGTGTCCCTGGGCAAGACACTTCACCCCAAATTGCTCCTGTGGGGATTGTCCACAGTACTGAGTATTATGTAAGTCGCTTAAAAGCGTCTAACAAGTGAAATGTAACGCAGGGCTATTCAATTAGTTTGGAATGGGGCCGGTTGATGAAAATGATCCAAAGCAAGGGGCCGGGAAAAAGATGGCTTGAAATATGAGCAATCATATTAAGAGCTTCAGATACAGTAAATCCTACAACAGCATAGTGGAGTGCATATATTGTGTTTAATTCAATCAAACAACATAGCCCCAAGGCCTTTATAGATCTAAATGGCAAGTTCAGAACTCAGTAGGCCTACATGTGAAGCTGATTTAACCATCAACATCATTTAATTTGATTTCATTTAGGTGAAATGATCTAATCATTCACGCAGAGATGCAATAAATGACAGGAGTTGTCACTACAGTAGCTAGTAGGTGAGTTGTCACTACAGTAGCTAGTAGGTGGGTTGTCACTACAGTAGCTACTAGGTGGGTTGTCACTACAGTAGCTAGTAGGTGGGTTGTCACTACAGTAGCTAGTAGGTGGGTTGTCACTACAGTAGCTAGTAGGTGGGTTGTCACTACAGTAGCTAGTAGGTGGGTTGTCACTACAGTAGCTAGTAGGTGAGTTGTCACTACAGTAGCTAGTAGGTGGGTTGTCACTACAGTAGCTAGTAGGTGGGTTGTCACTACAGTAGCTAGTAGGTGAGTTGTCACTACAGTAGCTAGTAGGTGGGTTGTCACTACAGTAGCTAGTAGGTGGGTTGTCACTACTGTAGCTAGTAGGTGGGTTGTCACTACAGTAGCTAGTAGGTGAGTTGTCACTACAGTAGCTAGTAGGTGGGTTGTCACTACAGTAGCTAGTAGGTGGGTTGTCACTACAGTAGCTAGTAGGTGAGTTGTCACTACAGTAGCTAGTAGGTGGGTTGTCACTACAGTAGCTAGTAGGCGGGTTGTCACTACAGTAGCTAGTAGGTGGGTTGTCACTACAGTAGCTAGTAGGTGGGTTGTCACTACAGTAGCTAGTAGGTGGGTTGTCACTACAGTAGCTAGTAGGTGAGTTGTCACTACAGTAGCTAGTAGGTGGGTTGTCACTACAGTAGCTAGTAGGTGGGTTGTCACTACAGTAGCTAGTAGGTGGGTTGTCACTACAGTAGCTAGTAGGTGGGTTGTCACTACAGTAGCTAGTAGGTGGGTTGTCACTACAGTAGCTAGTAGGTGGGTTGTCACTACAGTAGCTAGTAGGTGAGTTGTCACTACAGTAGCTAGTAGGTGGGTTGTCACTACAGTAGCTACTAGGTGGGTTGTCACTACAGTAGCTAGTAGGTGGGTTGTCACTACAGTAGCTAGTAGGTGGGTTGTCACTACAGTAGCTAGTAGGTGGGTTGTCACTACAGTAGCTAGTAGGTGGGTTGTCACTACAGTAGCTAGTAGGTGAGTTGTCACTACAGTAGCTAGTAGGTGGGTTGTCACTACAGTAGCTAGTAGGTGAGTTGTCACTACAGTAGCTAGTAGGTGGGTTGTCACTACAGTAGCTACTAGGTGGGTTGTCACTACAGTAGCTAGTAGGTGGGTTGTCACTACAGTAGCTAGTAGGTGGGTTGTCACTACAGTAGCTAGTAGGTGGGTTGTCACTACAGTAGCTAGTAGGTGGGTTGTCACTACAGTAGCTAGTAGGTGAGTTGTCACTACAGTAGCTAGTAGGTGGGTTGTCACTACAGTAGCTAGTAGGTGGGTTGTCACTACAGTAGCTAGTAGGTGAGTTGTCACTACAGTAGCTAGTAGGTGGGTTGTCACTACAGTAGCTAGTAGGTGGGTTGTCACTACTGTAGCTAGTAGGTGGGTTGTCACTACAGTAGCTAGTAGGTGAGTTGTCACTACAGTAGCTAGTAGGTGGGTTGTCACTACAGTAGCTAGTAGGTGGGTTGTCACTACAGTAGCTAGTAGGTGAGTTGTCACTACAGTAGCTAGTAGGTGGGTTGTCACTACAGTAGCTAGTAGGCGGGTTGTCACTACAGTAGCTAGTAGGTGGGTTGTCACTACAGTAGCTAGTAGGTGGGTTGTCACTACAGTAGCTAGTAGGTGGGTTGTCACTACAGTAGCTAGTAGGTGAGTTGTCACTACAGTAGCTAGTAGGTGAGTTGTCACTACAGTAGCTAGTAGGTGGGTTGTCACTACAGTAGCTAGTAGGTGGGTTGTCACTACAGTAGCTAGTAGGTGAGTTGTCACTACAGTAGCTAGTAGGTGGGTTGTCACTACAGTAGCTAGTAGGTGAGTTGTCACTACAGTAGCTAGTAGGTGGGTTGTCACTACAGTAGCTAGTAGGTGGGTTGTCACTACAGTAGCTAGTAGGTGAGTTGTCACTACAGTAGCTAGTAGGTGGGTTGTCACTACAGTAGCTAGTAGGTGGGTTCGAAACCCGAGCCGCCAAATTTTCAGGCAATGTCTTCCCCTCTATCTATTATACTCAAAGGGCCAGTAAATATCACCCCAGGGCCGGATTTGGCCGCCAATTGAATAGCCCTGATGTAATGTAATATCTTTCCCCACAGGTGACCAAAATCTTCCAGAAGAAGAAAACCTCAGTGACTTACAGTTTCAGACAGTCGTTCCCTCTGGTGGAGATGCAGGTGCACATGTTCCAGAACTCATGTGAGAAACTTTTTCCTTTTCAACATTTCACCTAATTTTACTTACCCTCTATGACAGGGGTGTCAAACTCAATGTCATGGCGGGCCACATCAGCAGTATGGTTGCACTCAAAGGGCCGGTTGTAACTTTAAGACTATATAAATGTATTAATATATATAAAATAATGTATTATATTACATTATTGCCTCTGCATTGGATTATTATCGGATAGGGTAATAACTTCTTAATTAACTACGTCTGGGGCAAATAATTGAGAGTCTCTTCAGTGCGCACAAAATGAGATGCATTGTGGGACATGTAGTTTATGGACAACGTGCTTCTGTAAAGCGGCATGTAACCGTATAATAAACGTATTTTATTCTTTGCAAGCTCTTACGGGCCACATCAAGTGAAGTCACATCTTCTGGACATCTTCAAGTCATCATTAAAAACTCACCTGTTCACCATGGCCTTTGACCCCTAACCCAACCCGTTTGTTTGTTTGTTTGTTTGTTTGTTTGTTCACCATGTAAAGCGGCCTTGGGTCCCTTGAAAGGCGCTATACAAATGTCATCTATTATTATTAAGTCACGGACCAGATTTGGCACGCGGGCCTTGAGTTTGAAACCCCTGCTCTATGATTATTAGGTGTTTTATTCCTCTGTGTTCTCACCCCTCAGACTACCCTCACGGTATCCGCCTCACCACCGCCGTGCTCGAGGGGGAGAGGAAGGTCCTGATCGTGTTCATGGCCCCCAGTCAGCAGGACCGAACCCGCTTTGTGAGCGACCTCAGGGAGAGCATCGCTGAAGTGCAGGAGATGGAGAAATACAGGGTGGAATGTGAGTCTGCCCCCTGCTGGTCATCACTGTCAACTACAACCACATTTACTGAGATACTGTATTTAACCACAATTATGACATACTTTTACTTTTCTTGATTATTTTATGCCACTACATTTTAGAGGCAAATATTGCAGATTTTATTTTATTATAATTATTTCACGCTTATAGTTCATTCCCCTTTATCCCTCAGAAACTAGGCAATTTAGAAAATAAATGGAGTATTAATGCTTGAAAAAAGTTGTCCTGCTTTGTAGGATTATTATAAGTCAATAGCAACATTAATCTCCTTTTGTAAAACATATTTTTGCAAGTTGTGAATCTATTCAAAATCTTAGAAAATAAGACTGTTTAATTTTGTATCAATTGATTTCTTTCCCCAAAACCAATCCAGTAATATAAATACAAATGTACGTATTTAAAATTGCCTCATGAACTAAAACATTAGAACATACTTTCATACATATTTGTGAGAAACAGAATAATATAATATTGTAAAATATCACTTTTAAATGTGCGTGTGTCAGTATCGCTGCTAAGTAAACTTGATTTATTTTTTAGACTGTGGTATTATACTTTAACTCCCATTGTCTTCGTTTCCCCCCCTTACTTTGGTGTTTGCGGTCAAATTTGACCGGTCCTGTTTTAACTGCTATTACATTAACACAAAAACCATTAATAATCACCAAATTTCATTTAACACCCTTTCAAACTGTACATATTGTATCAGACTACTGGTATACATGAACAACTGCAGTAAATTATACAAAGAATAGACACTGAACATGTATTGCGTGTGCCAGGTGTGATCCATGTGGGGGGATGGGCACATAAGAGCGGGACATGTATCAAATTGTTCTGTGTGTGTGTTTGTGTGTGCCAGGTGTGATTCACATGGACACATCGTGTGTGTGTGTGTGTGTGTGTGTGTGTGTGTGTGTGTGTGTGTGTGTGTGTGTGTGTGTGTGTGTGTGTGTGTGTGTGTGTGTGTGTGTGTGTGTGTGTGTGTGTGTGTGTGTGTGTGTGTGTGTGTGTGTGTGTGTGTGTGTGTGTGTGTGTGTGTGTGTGTGTGTGTGTGCGATCCGATCCGATCCGGATGGATAATTCCTTTTCTTTATGGCGGTCACACCATGGGTGTTACAAAGTTGACTAAATCATCCAAAATTCAATGAAAGTGGTGATCAGCTATTTGATATGTTCAAATGTCTACTGTGAAGGATATCATGAAGCCTTAATGCAATCGAATGTAAAACTAAAAAGTTATGATTGATGCAAGTAGTGAATCGGTCAGATTTGACCCGAAGACAACAGGAGGGTTGAGTAAAAGTTCTTCTTTGACCACTGAATATAACTTACTGTAAGTGGGCGTGATGTCCCTACAGATATCATCAATAGCATATCTTTATCAAGAGATGGAGTTCTGGTTTTACTGCTTTAAATTATTCTCCCTAGCATGTCTCGCACTGATTATAAATTCGCCCCGTGCCCTTTGCGTTTCTTCACAGCGGAGTTGGAGAAACAGAAAGGTGTGATGCGGCCCAGCCTGCTCACAGGAGGTGTGGGTGGGAAGAGCGATCTTGTGAACGGCACCCTGGGGAGGAACAGTTTTGATGACTCAGTGGGTGATGGTCTCAAACGCACCGCGCTCAGCTCATCTCTCAGGGACCTATCGGACGCAGGTGAGGAAACAGAACCCCAGAGACACAGTTGACATGTGTTTGAAGGCCGACGAGAAGTTAGCATCTCTTTCGTTCCCCTTTAACAAAAAGCCAACAGGATTTTTCCTATGGATTTTTGTTTATTGCAGAAAATAAGTACTGTGGCAAACAAACCTTTATGAATCTTACACGTTTTGCTCAGCAGGATAATCTCCACATATTAACACCACTAGATGATTTTTGTAAAGTAAAAAGCAAACGTTAGGCTATAAGGGAACTGCAGCACGGTCACATGACTTCACGTCACCGTCGCTAAGCTAAAGGCGGCTAATGTTGGGCTATAAAGGAACTACAGCACGGTCACATGACTTCCTGTCACCACCGCTAAGCTAAAGGCGGCTAATGTTGGGCTGTAAAGGAACTACAGCACGGTCACATGACTTCCCGTCACCATCGCTAAGCTAAAGGCGGCTAATGTTGGGCTATAAAGGAACTACAGCACGGTCACATGACTTCACGTCACCACCGCTAAGCTAAAGGTGGCTAATGTTGGGCTATAAAGGAACTACAGCACGGTCACATGACTTCACGTCACCACCGCTAAGCTAAAGGTGGCTAATGTTGGGCGTTATGACGTTTAGTCGTCTCATTTAGACACTTGTTAGCAACCGCTGTTTTTAAATTCACCTGTGGGGTATTTACTGAGGTATTTTATGTCGTAGAACAAAACGTCAAAATCTCTTCAGCTTGTGTTAAAGGTGGGGTATGTAATTTTGGAGAAACCAGCTCGAGTGCGCTAGAATTTGAAAGTACACAACCTGAAAAAATCTGCCTCATCCTTCAGACTTCCTTACAGAGCCCCTCCTCCAACACACACGAACGTGCACATGACCAATCAGGGCACGAGATAAGTTTGTGCACAGATGGAAGGCTGACAGGCAGGTAGGCCATCCAGTTACTTTAGTCGGGCCGGCTAAAATGATTGGTCGTGCTTTTTACAGTACTACGGCTTCCACAGATGACATTTTTTGTATGTATTTATTGTCAAAGCACTTAAGATATTCATTGCTATCGGGATGTTCAGAGCATTCCATGGAATATAACAAAAAGTGTTTCTGAAATAAATTACATACCCCACCTTTAACCACAGACCTTATTTAAGACAAACAAACAAAAACAAGTTCAAAATACCATTGATTTCAAGACAAGGAAACCAGGAAGTAACTCATTTCCTGTTTTAGGACTCATTCCTGCACCACTCTATTGGGTAGCTTCTGAAATGATTTTATTTATATCTCTATGACTGCATCCTGTTTCTTTTTCTCACTGACATTCACACACAACTTTTGCACTTTCTATCTTTTTTCTGTGAACACATTTTCCAATCTTTCCGCTCTTTGCTAACCGTCCTCTTCCTGGTGGGGCTGCAGGGAAACGTGGTCGCAGGAACAGTGTTGGTTCTCTGGACAGTACCATGGAAGTAAGTCTGAGAGACTCGATGTTCACCTGTAACTTCGGCCTGTCACCATAAGTATTTTATCGATGTCTCCTACTATATACAAACATGACCTCGACAAATCGTACAAAATACAGAAATTACCTATATTATTTTACTATATTTAATTATTGTATGATTAGCAGTGTCTTGGATAATTACTACATTATCGTCTTAAAATATTTTTTTAAACGTGTCTTAAAATCACAATCTGGAATGCAGTTTGGGAATATATCGTCAGACAAAATGAGTTATCGTGACAGGCCTACTCTAACCTTTAAAAGGCGCTCATTTCCCCGTCGTGGTGCGTCATTGTCCCTCAATGTGTGTATAGTGTGCAAACGTTATTAAAGATGGCGTCTGTGTGTGTTTGTGTGTACATGCATGCTTGGTTCCTCTTGTTTCTGACCTGCACTGACACCCTTTAACATGGCTCTGTGTTCATTCTAAGTAATGTTACAATTATTTGTTCAACATTTTTCTTGCATAGATATATAATGTGTTTTTACTTTACTTTTAACAAACAATGACCACTTCACCAGTCATTTATAATCCCATTAAACATTATTAGAAGATTCTAATGAATTGTAGTAATAGGAATATCGGCGAGTAATGTGTTACTATTTTAGTTTGAAAGCTATATGAATATTTATGAGGGCTCATAAGTGTAATTATACAGCGCTATTAGCAAGGCAAGGCAATTCAAAGTACTTTACAAAAATGAAAGACATTAAGAAAATGGCATTTTTTGGCAGAAAAGTCTTCAGCCTGGATTTAAAGCAGTCAGAGTTGCAGCGGACCTGCAGGTTTCTGGTAGTTTGTTCCAGATATTTGGAGCATAATAACTGAACGCTGCTTCTCCATGTTTAGCAAATAATGATGCATTTTAAGTGTGTTTATAATACATTATAGGACCAGAATCTTAACCGCAAATAATCTGGAACAATCTCAGTGATTTTTCTGAAACATAAGTTGGTTTTCCCCCCTCCAGGGTTCCATCATTAGCAGCCCGGTGCCTCACCAGCGCTACCAGCTGCCCGGCTGCTACGCCACAGAAGACTTCCGGCCTCACCGCCCTATCCTGAGCCCCGGATCGGGGGTGGGGGGTGGGCCGGGGCAGCAACACACCACTGCTGGGACAGGAGTTGGGGGGGGAGTCTCCAGCAGTGTAGAGAGAGCAGGAGCGGGGGGGAGCGGTCCTGGGGGGGGAATCATCAGCAGCAGCAGCAACAACAACAGCGGCTCCTTCCTGGGATCTCTCTTCGGCAGCAAACGTGCCAAACCACCTGGGCCCCTCATTCCACCGGGGCCACCCTACCCCGCTCCTGTCCCCCCGCCGACTACGGGAGGGCCCCCTCCTCACTCCCCGTCCTCGCTGTGCCAGATGGACGGGGGGGGCCCTTCCAAGATCCAGGCGCTGCACGCTCAGTACTGTCACCTGGGTGGCGTGCAACCCCCCCCACCATACTACCATCACCATCGCTTCCACGTGCAGACTGTGCCCCCGCCCCTGCAAGGCGTCCCCCCCCACGCTATGCAGAGAGGCCCGCTACACTGTCGTCCACCGCTTGGAGCCCACCCGCCGCTGGCCCATCTCTCCCAGCTCTCCCAGCATGGGCTACCGGGTCGTTACGGCAACATGGTAGTGGGGTGCCCCCCCCCCCTTTCTCCTCTCTCCCAACACTCCCCGAACCCTCAGTTTACTCTGTACCACTCCATCAGAGGGGGGGGCCTGCCTGGTACCAAACTCCCCCTCACCTTGTCTCACTCCCAGCCCCACCCCCACGCACACTCCCAAACCCACCCCGGACACGTGCACACGCCCCACCCGGCCTCCCACTCCGTCCACCAAACACACTTCATCTTCGGCACTCTGCCCCACAACCTGCCGTCCGCCTCCGTCAACGCTGCGCATCACGCGGCGAGCGCCGGCCCGTATCTGCCCCAGTACCCTGCTCTTTCTTCTATCCCACCTCCCCCACCACATTCCCCTTTACCCCCCCCTTTGTCCCCCCTTACCCCTCTTACACCTCTCTCCCCTCTCCCCCCCCAGCACCCCGGGCAGCCTCAGCAGGGGCCGCAGGTGACGGGGCCCGGAGCGACAGGTACAGGGGGCAGCAGCTCCAAATCCAAACCTCTCAATCGGATAAGCACCGTGGTGTGAGCAGGGCATGGGGCCCCAGGGGTCAGAGGTCAGATTACAGGGGGGAGGAGGTGGGCAGGTCCAGGTCCAGGACCAAGTCTGCCCGCACGGAGAGCAGCAGCAGCGCCAGCGACAAGAGGAAACGCAGCTTGCTTCGTCTCTGTTACTTTCACCTCCGCTTCCCACACATGTAGGCGGAGATACAGAGCACAGCTAGAGCGGAGGAGCATGTGCACACGTCTTTGAAACCTGCACACACACATATATAAATAAATATTTAAAAAAGTTATATAGCCATATAATTTAAGATGAATCTATATCCAGATATATTTATCGCCTCAATTGTAAACGTCTAGTTGAATGTACAGTACGGAGATGTGGGGAAAAAACGGAGATCATATATCCAGCTTTTTACACAGGGATGTAAATAACGACATTCCAGCGGAGTTTGGGATTTAAAAACAGAAGAAAGTTGCTAAAAAATAAATGTCCCTTGACTTTGCAATCATTTACTTGGCTTCATGATGTCTTTGTCAACTTTTGCAAGTTCCGCTTTGCTGAGAGGCATCTTTTTCTTTTGAAAGAAGACCAGAGATTTGTTGCTTTGTCTTAAAGCCAGTGCACGGTTTCCTGAAGGTCTTTTTGCTTAATGTACTTTTACATGTCAACAGGAGCCACCTGGCTTTATAACGGGGTCTGGGAAATACAATCAATAATATATTTAGAATGTTTCTGAAGCTTCTTGCCGTTTTATTGATATTATAATATACCTGCTACGAGTATGATGAATATTGTACACTAATTGTTTTGATCAGTGATTAATTATATCAGCAGATGTTTGTACATGGTTATAGAGAGTATATGCACATATAAATACCCTCAGTTTGCCATGACTTCTCGAGGGTGTTGCGATATGTGAAGTGTGATTTATTTCCATTGTACCACGCTTTCCATTCGCCTTTTTAATTATTAGTATTATTGGTTGTGGAAAATGAATGAGGTTTAGTTTTGTTTAAAATGTTAACGCCAACAAGCAATTTTTCTCAAATGGGTTGACCCCGGGACATCTCTAAGCGGTTGACCAATCACAACAGAGCCGGCCAGCTAACCAATCAGAGCAGACTGGGCTCTGGTTTCAGACAGAGGGGGAAAAGAGGTGCTGCAGCACAGGCAGTATGAGAGAAATAAAGAGCTTTTTGACCATTAAAGCATGGAGACATGTCCCAGTAGAGACACTACATACTGATATGAAGCTGAAAATGAAGGCCCTGACACACCAAGCAGTCACCAGAGAACTCGCCGACGCCGACTGTTGCGTCGCCGTGTTCTCCTGCGTCTTGGCCATGTGTCGCACTGGAACACACCGCAAAGACTTCAGCCGAGCATGTACGAACTGCGCATGCGTGAGTGGCAATAACTCTCCTTACCAGCAGGCGGCGGTAGTGTGTATTCGTCATTCAAAAGAGGCAACAACCGGAAGACAGAGAAGAAGAACAGACTGCGTGATATAAACAAACAACAAATAGCGTGTGCGTTCCATTTTCACTCTCGTCCATCGAAAACATGTTTCGTGCGGTACTGGAGCTATCAGCCATTGGAGTGTTGCTTGTGGAAGACATTCTCAAGCAACCGTTTCGCTTCTCATGCACTGATTCGCTAGCTGAACAGCCAATCAGAGTGATCTCTTTGTCCGACTGCCTGTGGCCGACGCACGGCCGATTCAACATGTTGAATCGGCCGTGCGTCGGCCATGAAAGGCCAAATAAGGCGTGTCACGGGACACACCAAATTGAGTTTGGGCGACAGGGCACGCTTCGTCGTCCGACTAACGAAAACGGCCGATTTGGGCCTGGTGTGTCAGGGCCTTTAGCATAATAGGGCCCCTTTAAAAGATAGATCTGAGTTATTGTTAAATTTTTATTTTTGTTTTTTTATTTTTATTTTATTTATGAGAAAAAAAAGCATTTGTGAAAATTGGAAAGACTCCCTCTATGCTTACTTCAGATTTAGCCATTGTGTGTTTTCTATGTTTTGAAGAAGCACGCTTTTACATGAGGTTTTGTGGTTTTGCACACGTGATGTCTTAAGTCAGAAATGGCCTTCTTCTGATCCTCCCTCTTCTGCCACTTTTAGAAAATTCTCTTAATACATTTTTTGATGCTCTAGCATCCCACTGAGGGCTTCTTGTTTAAAAAACACCAACAAGAGTCAAGAATGTAAAATAGCCTGCAGGTACTTAATGTATTCCCCTTTTTTCTGTGGGCCTTGTGTAACTGTTACCCCTTTTTGCTACTGCAGTTTTTAAGGATGCATTGAGCACTGATGTTGTTTACCTTCAGTGCCATTGATTACTAAGGGAAAACATAATATTCTGAACAAGGGGAGAATGAAAAGTAAGGGGTTAACTTCTGGAAGAGATGGCAACGTTAAAAAAGATCTAAATCAAAAATGATTTTTAGGAGGTTTGGAGAGAGTTAAGGATGTCAGATGAAGATTTTATATGTGTTGGCTAGCCTTTTCTTTTTAATGTGTCTTTTTTCTTGCATGAATATATCTGCACTTATTGAATAGATTGTACTGTATAAATCTGAATGTACATATTATACTATACATAGGCTTATGGGATGAACTATTCAGGTGCGTGCATGTGAGTGCCACTACGTGTGTACATACAGGAGAAAAGACAGGGATAGGAGACGTTGGCCATACAGAAAATATCAACTTTTTTTAATTTTCTTATTATTTCCGACTGAAGGTGAAAGAATGAGTTACCTTGATATAAATTAAAGCCTAAAAAAAGTTTCTATGTCAGTGCACTTATTGATATCATTTAAAACAAATGATTTCAATTTTTTCTTTGTGTATGTATTATGTGAACTGAAAGAATAGAGATTTGAGATGTGAATATTTATTGCTAAATTAAAGTGTCCTTGCAGTGAATTGGTCTGTGTGCTTTTTACAAAACTCAACATCTGTTCCACCATTACATCACTATACATAAAGAACTCTTACATCAGTTAACTACGAGACTTATGGAACATTAAATATATATAATGAGAAGCAGGCTACTTTGTCGACAAATACAAAGTGATATGATCATTTTTCTTCATTACAATTGCAAATGTTGCATTGTTACGGCCACAGCATTAAAACAGCCGCTGTGGCTCAAGTTGTGACCGGCAACATAGATTTCAGACACCAAACCGGATGGAGTTTACACAAACAATATGGTGTTATTGAACATTTTTTCACACTAACTTAACGGGTACAAGTCTGGAGGACCGGCCAAAAGGAATAAAACACTAAAATAAATACATAAGCTGAACTCAGAAAAAAAAAAACACGAAGCTGGGGTACCAGGTCCTCCATACTAAAACCTCAGCCAAGGAAATAACAGGAAACAGAACCAATTGCTAAGGGCTGCTATACTAAAAGGCAGCAGTGTCCAGCCGAGTCAGAGGGTGCGTCTCACTTCTCTTATTTTTCATTTCCTCGCTCCTCGGGCTCGGTATCACCGGAAGTTGATTTGTCTGCGCCATCTTGAGTACCGTCCCAGTGGCCTTATTTTTGCCGGAGGACCGAGGATCGAGGAGTGATAAGGGAGGAGCGATAATCGAGGTCCCCGGCCGGAAGTCCCCGGAGTTGGGGACTGGCTTCAGTAGAAGCTGCTGGGAGTCTTCGCCGACACCTCCTCATCTCCGTCGCTCCCATGTTTTTTTTTGTGTTGCCATAAGCTAGTCTCTCTCCGTTTGTGCGCTGGGCTAATGCTAATGCTAATAATGCTAATGCATTAAGGGACGGGGAAAAGTACTCCGGTGTGAAAGCGCCAATAGCCGCTTTCACACCAAGTACTTTGCCGTACTTAGTTCCCAGCACTTAGTACCCCCATGGAACTAAAGAGCCGATCGCGTTCACACCGGAATAAGTTCCCTGACGGAAGATTACGCAAATGAAGCCGCTGACGTCACTTCTTCTTCTTCTGCTTTGGGTTTGCTGGCAGGCCGCAAACAACTTCACAGCGTTTACTGCCACCCAGGGGCGGACTGGGACAACAATTCAGCCCTGGAAACTGACCCAGTCCGGCCACATGAAATGCCAAGGGGGGGGTGGCATCAGAACAAAAATACAGTAGCCTACTATTAGTTATTAGAAATCAGCTGTTTATTAGGCTGCAGTTTATGCAGTTCAAGGGATAATTTTCACCTAAAGAGGGAGGACACTCCTCAGCTGTCTTAAACACATGGGACATCGTAAAACAGTAAACACACAAACATACAGTATAGGCTACTATTAGTTATTAGAAATCAGCTGTTTATTAGGCTGCATTTATGCAGTTCAAGGGATAATTCTCACCCACCTCTTGCTCTTGCCCTGCACTTATATGTGCCAGTTGAGCTGGTTCTTCCACCAGCTCAACTCTCTGTCCCTCATCATGAACGCAGGCTGGCTGTATATCTGAACTCGCGCCCTCATCATTCTCTTCATCATCTTGCACTTGTTCTAAGCTGCTGATGATAGTGCTTGTAGCAGCGCTTCTGCCAAAAAGGTCTGTCAATTTGCGACATTTATATGCTTCACCTGCGAGTGACTTCCCCTTTTTTTCTCTTGCCTTCTCGGTCCCACCTTTTTCTTTTAGTTTTCTTTGATTTTTATCCATGTTTTTTCATTCTCCCTGGTCGTTTCTCAATGTCTAGTAAACCTGCTAGAGCCACTATTTCATTTCTCTAGCAGGCACTGAAAAGGGGGGAAAAGTTCTCATGAACTAAGTTCTCTTTTTGGTGTGAACGCAAAATCCCAGGAACTATCGGAACTAAACGGGAAAAGTACGGGGAAAAGTACTCCCGTGTGAAAGCGCCTATTGCTTTTTTGTCGTTTCCGTGTCGGCCTCGTGTGGCCGAACCGTCTATCTGATAGAGAACTGTACCAGATACGACCGTTTTCGTCCTTGTGTGGCAAGGGTCTGAGGGTCTTTCCTCTGCGAGGAGGACCAGGCCTGATGGAGGAGGACCAGACCTGATGGAGGAGCCCATGCTGGGCATAGCTGATACCAACTGCACAGGCCTAGTCTGTCACTTTATTTATTTATTTTATACATTTAATAGGTTTACACCTTCTGTCCATATGTGCTTTTTATTTAAAACATTTTTGATTAACTTTTGGTTCACATTTCAATAAATTGAATTTGTATTTGCCCTCCTTTTGTCCATTATTCTTTCTGAAAAATGTTAGATTACACATTCACATCTGACTGAAGATTGGCCCCATTTATTTGTGACGTTGCAAACTCTGCGGTACAAGGTACATGTGATGTGAAGCTCATAAAGTGAGGCAAATAGAAATAATCAGCTGATGGTGTAGATGTGGAAATAGGTGCATTCGATCAGCTGACTGTGTTTTTCGCCACACTTTATAAGCCTGACAATAACCACACCTTCTCTGAGGTGCAGCGTCACAAACAAATGATGGTCCTGATAGACTACACAAATATTCGGTGTGCAGAACTTTGTTTTCACAAGAAAAGTGTAGTTTATTAGTGAATGTCCTGTACTGGTCTTAAAATCTCATAACATCAGCTTTTAATTTTCCTCTTGGATGTTCTTCTTGACCCTCAGAGAAGGAGAAAATGTTGAATCTAAAAGAAATTACAGGAAACATAAAACATATTATTGCAGGACAAGTGTGTTATTTATGAAAGAGGTGTGTTTGTGTTTTTAGGGGCTGTAGATATAATTATTTTGTAATTGTAATGTTTTTTTGTTATTTCAACAGTGAGCTACAAAGACAATCAGATTATGAATGAACAGTATGAAATTCATCAACATTGAAATATGTTTTATTATCAAAATAATATTTAACTGTTATCAAAACTTAGTGCAACTGTAGAAGCTTGCTCTGCTCTTACTCTGAAATAATAACTTTTACCACGTTTTTTACAGACAATATTGAGAGATAAATAGCAGTTCTCACTAGTGTTAAATATCTTTGCCTTCAATACATTACATTAGAAAGCTGACAGTCATATTGCTTGTTAACATCTGAATGTAACCCTTTGCATGGAAAAACCCCTCAACTTCACTGATGTGTAGGTGATCTAGTATTTAGTATTGTTTAATGGAATGTATATCAGTGTATTAAAGTCAATACTTCATTTATTTAAACCAATATCTTTCTTGATTCTTTGTACAGTATGAAAAAAGAGTCTTTGTACCTGTGCTGAAGTTCACTGCTGTGAGGAGTCCAGTTCTGTCTCTCACTCTGGACCCTTTAAACAAACTGATATATATGTAAAGTACCATGTGTACAAACAATATAACTTATTCTCTTCTGTTGAACATGTTGGCTTGTGTATTGCCCGAGTCAGGGTCCTATTTATTTTACTGTAACTTTGGAAGAACAAATTAAATGCAATGAATAAGCTTAATTTGAACTGAAGCATAACGTCTGATCTAATATTTTTAACAAATCATCCCCAAAGCATTGACTAGGCTATTCATCGTCCTTAAATGCAGGCATTAAGTTACATGTTCACATTCTACAGCCACAATTAGTCGGTTTCACAAGTGTAATGAAAATCAAATAAATAGTAAGCATTGGTATTACCAATTTGTATTTATTTCCCGAACTTCATGCGACAATACATTTTTATTACACAGGGCGTTGCCCGTACATTTATGATTGGTTGAGACTAGATGGAGAGTAACCTTGGTTTAGACTTTGGCTCTCTCTCGTTGGTGCACAGACTCAGACAGTCTCTTGGCAACACAACCTTCCAATCAGCATTCGGCCGGCCTGTGGAAGTCCCTCCCTACTCTGTCGCCATCATACGTAATTTGTTTTCACTAACGTTTCTACAGTTATAGTGGAAAACCTTCATAATGCTGCTTCCTAGCTATACGTGGGAGTGAAGCTCCCATACAACTCATGGCCCGAGCGATGTCCTGTTTATGAATAACTCTTTGTATTCTTCCAGTGTCTGCACCTGACCTTGCTACTCTGTATTGCAGGCTAAAACTTCCCTTCTGTTCAGAAACTAGACAAATGTTAAACAAGTACAAACCACAGACTGTCTGTGTCATGGCGAATACAGTCGCTGGTTTATTTATGTCTGTATAGGCCGTTGTTGTGAGTGTGTGGACGGTCGGAGCATATACAACGTTAGCTTAGCCGATCTCCATTCAGAAAACACGCATTTTAAAGGTTTTTCGCCTGCCGTCTGGTCTGCACACTTGTCACAGCATTAATTCATGGTTTTTACTAACCGGTATCAGTATGTTGTTACTTCGGCATCATTTTGAAAACGTGTATTACAATTAAATCACGGTAAAATATGTTCATTTTGTTGTAGTTGTAGCCACTCACGTCACTAGTTTAGCATATTCAGCCCGGTTGTTGGCTCGGAAAGAACCACGATTTTGGAGGGCCAGAAAAACTATGAAAAGGTACCCGTTAGCCGGAACTACCCCTAGTGGAAACGGGCTGGGTTTGGCACGGCACTCTTAAACCATGCTACGCGCTGCAGTGGAAATGTGTCCCACATTAGGGAGTGTCCCACATTAGGGCAACTCACCCTACTTTGTAGTATTTATTTCTTTATACATAGTTCTATCATCTATTTAAAAATATGTATTGTTGTTATTTATTATTGATACATATTATAGCAAAAAAGGCACACATTTTACACACTTATTTCACATTTTCCTCATAAATAATTGATGTTAATAGGCATGTTTATACTATAAGAAAATGTATCGTATCACATTTACCCCAGATCAATAAAGTTTTTTGTTTTTTTCACAGGCTTTGGTAATACAAAAAAAGACAAATAAATAGAAACAATAATCATTATAACAATTACTTAATTCATGCATTATAACATAATCATATCATTTTTACAATTAAATGTGTCATTGACTTTTTCACTAACGCCTCCACAGCATTTATTTATTGTTCCATACATTTTTCCTGTATTGATGTATTTATTCGTGTGTTTCTGTATTTGTATAGATTTATTTTAATTATTTACGTTCTTATACGTTATGTCATTTCCGTTCTCCATACACAGCCGATCCTGCTGCAGTTACATGACTTGAACAGGCGTACGTGGGGACTACTTTCTGGGAGTAAACGTGCGGGACGTGGTGTGAACACTTCCAGGGTTGTGCTTCGGTCGTGAGAAAACTAAGATGGCGTCTCGTCAAGAAAGATAGGATGGCTTGAAGAGAGTGATGATGTTGGTCGAGGAAATTATTGATAAAGACATTAAGTGATAAAGTTTGAGACTTTCGTCCACCAGCAAACAAACCTCCGCGATCCAGAGCGGAGTTATATGGAGAACTGAGGCTGGAAAACGTTCAACTTTTAGCTAGCAGTGTTAGCTAGCCAACTGGACCCGTTTTATTTCCAGCGTTCATCACAACAACAGAGGAAGGAGAGCGACCAGCAGCCCTGTCATTACCCGGGACATCGAGGTGTCTTCGGGTCAGTGTAACCGAGACATTGTTGTGCAAGTGGGGTCACATACACTGGGCTTTACTTCATATTAATAACTAACGGTCGCTGGTTGTTAGCCTACAGGCTAGGTTAGCTTGTTTGCTGTCACATTGCTGAGTTTTGTTAGCCACCTAAATGCTAGTTACCTTTAACCATGGGAGGCCTCGATGCTAACGGTAGCTGAGAGCGGCGTTATCGCGATAGAAAAAGAAACAGGTTTTTATGGGGCAACACAGTTAAAGAAGATCAATCATAAGAAAAGGACCAAGAGCTTTTAATAAAACTAATATAACAATAACATATAGCAATATGTACATGAAATATAGCTATAATACCCGTACAAATATAATATTTATAAATAATAATATAGCTGAACAATAGACACAATTCATGATGGAATAGAAATTAATGTCACCAAGCTTACACAACCCAACAATTACAGTTTAAACATTTTTTTAATTATTTAGTTATGGCGGTTCCTGGTGTGTAATGTTAGTTTTAACACCAGTTTCCCCAAGTTTAAACCTACATTTGATAGCTAGGTTAGCTCGTTTTTTCTGTTACATTGATTTATTTTTTTACCCACCTAACGCTGGTTACCTATCCATTGTTTTTAGGGGGATTAACATTATCTGTCTAGGGACTACAGATGAAAAATGGCCTCTTGGCTAACTCTTGCACATTTACAGAAATGTTTCTTAATGTGCACTGTCCCTGTTAAATACATTTAAAGAGAGGCGATAAGTGGAAGGCCTCGATGCTAACGTTATCGCGATAGCTGAACAATAGACACAATTCATGATGGAATATAATTGAAAGTCACCAAGCTAACACAATATAACAATAACATTTCAAACATGTTCTCAATTATTTTTGTTTTGGCTGTTCCTGGTGTGTAATGTTACCCCTAGTTTAGTAGCTAGTAGTGAGCTAACACTTGCCATCTTGTGTATAATTGAGTAATAATAACAAGACGTTAATCGACATATAATATAAGTATTAGCTTTCTGCTATCGAGTGGTTGTGCATTTGTTGTAATTTGTCCCTTTTTTAAAGCGAATTAATTAATCTAGTCCATCCCACTTGCGAGTGGTGATGCCTTCATGGCCTTCTAGGGTTCATGGCATCCACGCCATTGTTTGTCTGAAGGCCTTTAAAGAATCCGACACATGAGGACATTTTACTCCCAGAATGAGATTGTTTGAAAGAACCACGATATTTATTCAATAATGCCTCCTTAAAAGACACTTATATTAAGACTTTGATGCAAACGCATTACATGGAAAAAATGCTTTTGGCTCAAGTGGATACAGAAATGTAGCAGTCACTTCTGTATTTAATTAATTTGATTGTTGCTCTTTACATTGACTCTTAAAGCATCACTTACACCTTTTGCCCCTCTGCCACCCTGGGCCTTGTTGATTCAGCAGAGCATGGCGTTTGTTTTGTTGTGTCGGATGTTGGGGGAGGGGTCTTTAAGAAGGGCCACACCAAAAATCCATATCCTGGGATTATCCAGGTCGCTTGTTGTTGGATATTGTGTTCAGTTTTGGAGGAAATGATCAACTATGAAACATGCAAAGGAACTAAGTGCTAGATATATTTAAAGAGGACAATGTTACTGTGCAGTGCTAAACCAGGAAGTGGTGAGAGAGAAGTAAACACATGCAGTGAACTTTTGTAGGAGCTGTACAATATGATTTTTATTGTTTTTACATACACGTGTAAAACATGTTAACCTTTTGACCTTTAAAAAAAAAAAAAGCTTTAGTTTCCAGTTATTGGGAATGTGTCATTTCTGAAGACAAAATATCAACCAGTGAACATTTTATTAGAAAGTTTCACATAGCTTTGTGTACCTAATGGTTCTCTACAAATGATAAACAAGACTTTCATACATAAAATGCTCTCTGTGATGCTGTGTGTATACCCATCAGTGAGTCTGCTGCAGTTTATTAACTTGTTTTGACTTGTCCGTCTTCAGGGCAATGGAAGGGGAAGAGTTTGTTCCTCCTCCGGAGTGTCCAGTGTTTGAGCCGTCATGGGAGGAGTTTCAGGATCCTCTGGGCTACATCGCCAAGATACGTCCAATCGCAGAGAAGTCTGGAATCTGCAAAATCCGACCTCCACAAGTAAATATTTGTTCATTGCATTATGTTTTCTTCAATGCCATGCCAACTGCTGCTCTATTGGCGCTTTTCCACTGCAGGGCCTCGCTCGGCTTAGTGCTGTATGGCTAGGCCTTGTTAGGTCAGGCTCACTTCATGCTGCGTTTCCATTACAGTTTAGGAACTGGGGTAGTATCTATAGTAACGCAGTGTAGGCGGAGCCGTGACGTCATCTTCAATGCGAAACACAAAACCAACATCAGCCGTTAGCTGTTAGCCCTCAGAGCTCACAGCTCCTCATATCTGTTCAGAAACTAGACAAAAGTTAAACAAGTACAAACCACAGACTGCCTGTGTCATGGTGAATACAGTCGCTGGTTTATTTATGTCTGTATAGGCCGTTGTTGTGAGTTTGGACGGTCGGAGCATATACAACGTTAGCTTAGCTGATCTCCATTTAGAAAACACGCATTTTAAAAGGTTTTTCCCCTGCCGTCTGTCTGCAGACTTGTCAAAGCATTAATTCATGGTTTTTACTAACCGGTATCAGTATGTTGTTACTTCGGCATCATTTTGAAACGTGTATTACAATTAAATCACGGTAAAATATGTTCATTTTGTTGTAGTTGCCAGCGATTCTCTCACTAGTTTAGCATACTACTCAGCCCGGTTGTTGGCCCGGAAAGAACCTCGATTTTGGAGAGCCAGAAAAACTGTGAAAAAGTACCCGCTAGCCGGAACTACGCCTAGTGGAAACGTAACCAAAAACGGGCCCGGCACGGCACGCTTAAACCGTGCTCCGCGCTGTAGTGGAAATGCGCCATAAGTGTGACATCTGTAGCATGCAGTGTTGACCATGCTGACATTATGTACAACGTCAACAAAGTTAATCAGATCAAGTGACTTCTTCCCAGGGTTGAGTTGATTATAATTCAGCAGCGTAAATGTGTAGGATGTTCACACAAAATAAGATATAAAACGATTAAACGGCTATAGTAAATAACTTTCTTTATACATACTATTATGCTCAGTTACATTAATGTTTCATCAATGTTTTGTTTCTAACTGTAAATACATTACATTGTTACAAGAGTGACATTACAGGAGAGAATAGAGAGGGTTACTGGAGGAAAAATGCAAATGTGTCACCATTTATCATTTTTAGGGCTTCGTGGATATAATCGTGCAGTTATGCAGATTGTGCTTTTACTACTAAATGTTCATCACCTTGCCGACGCTCTAGTTGTTTCCATGATCTTGTAGAAATGTTGATTTACTAATCAGTGTATGCCTTGAATTGTTGATAGTGTGATACTGCTCTTAAGTAGGGAACCATGACCTTGTTCTTGAGCCTGAAAGCCAGAGTTAAGCCAAAACTTAAGCTCACTATCTCTTTAGTCTCCGTTGTCCTTGTATATTTGGGTTAGTTTAAGTAAGCACCCTGAATGACAGTGATCCCAATTGAAGCAGCAATTAGACAAGTTGTTTTAGCATTTTGTTCCACACGTTTTTAATAGAGTGGTGCAGGGATGACGTATTTACCCGGAAGTAAGCTGCTGGTTCCCTCGACAAAAAGCGATGGGATTTCTCCATAGGATTTTGGAAAATATCTCGAAATAAGATCTGTGGAAAACGAACATGTTAGATAAATGCACGTTTTGTTCAGCCGGATAATCGCCACATGTCTACCCTACTTTTATCATTTTCGAATCATAAATCTAATCGCCAGAAGCAAAATGCTAACGTTATGCTATAAAGGAACTACAGCAGGGTCGCTGCTTCAACGTCACGCCAACTTATGATCCATATTCAAACATACAGATTCTAAATTGTACAAGTTGAAGCGTTTTGCAGGAGGCAGGTACTTGCTTTCAAGCAGAACAGGGCAAACAAACTCAGAGGAGTGTTTAACACAAACACTTAAAATAGTAGATAAGAAATCAGTTAATTCTCATCATTGCCCAATACTCACAAAATACAACTTGTTGAGCTGGGAAAATGTAATGAGATATGCAAATGCTTGCCTCATGTACAAAATAATACACAGCCTTACCTCACCTCCACTCAGACATTTTATCACCATACGCACACCTGTAACGAGGTCAACAAGAGCTGCAACAAGAGGAGATTGCGTTGTTCCATTTAAGGAAGAGTTCATTCAGCCAATCTTCATTTTCTTTTAAAGCTGCACAACAGTGGAACTCAATCCCAGTAACGATTAGAGAACGATTAAATCTAATTTTAAATACATGGTTAGTGGAAAATCAGCTCTGTCAACACTGACACAATCTGCACTTTACAACGCTCTGTTTGTACACATGTGCCTTGACCTGTTGCTATCTGTCTGCTTTGTGAATATGTATTTTTGTTTTGTTTTATGTTTTTATCATTATATAAGCATCTATGTTGAATGTTGTTTTACTGATTGTATTTACCTGTCATTTGAAGTGACATTTTTTTTTTTAGGATGACTTTCAACATCTGTCCAGGGACTGCAGATGAAAAATAGCCTGTTACAGAAATGTTAATCAATGTGCACTGTCCCCGTCAAATAAAAAAATGTTACGTGTTCGGCGTAATGACTTACAACGTCCTCGACAACTTCTGTAGTCCTATTCAGCCACTTGGTAACAACCACGTCAACTCTTCTGTCTTTGCTTTTGTTACAGGACTGGCAACCTCCGTTCTCAGTGGAGCTGGACACCTTTCGCTTCACACCCCGCATCCAGAGGCTTAATGAGCTGGAGGTAAGCTCCTCTCTTTTCCCTTAAAGCTGTACGTTGTTGACAGATGATTGAAGTTGTTGATTGAACTGACCCCACTATTCCTGATGATCCCTCATGCATTTTATTCCAGGCGGAGACCAGAGTGAAGCTGAATTATTTGGACCGCATCGCCAGGTTCTGGGAGGTCCAGGCGTCCTCGTTGAAAATCCCTCATATTGAAAGACGCATCCTTGATCTATTCGCGCTGTCAAGGGTAAACTTGAATTATTTGTTTTAAATAAGTTTGTGTTTGTTGTCATTTTTCTTTCCCTATTTATGGTTTTCTAATCTGGCTTTTTGTCTGCTGCAGATTGTGACGCATGAAGGGGGTTTTGAGATGGTGTGTAAGGAGCGGCGCTGGGCTCGTGTGGCTCAGAGGCTCGGTTACCCTCCGGGGAAGAACATCGGCTCTCTGCTGCGCTCGCACTTCGAGAGGATCGTCTACCCCTTCGAGATGTTCCAGTCTGGCTCCAGCTTGCCGGTACCTATCTACACATTCTCATCTCTCCTTTTTGTAATACTCATCAGTTTATAGATAGCCTTGAGAATGTGTCCATCTGTGGAAAGTAACCTGGTTGCTTTTAGTATATATATTAAGAATAAATACTATTGGGGCATCACACAAATGAAAAACAAGAGGATAGTATCACACGCTTTTAGATTTTTGGTTATTCTTTTACGATTATTGGAAAATAATGACCCTCCCTAATTTTCTTGGCAGATTATAATTTCCTCTCTACTTGGGTTCTATAATTTACAGCATGCACAAATGTCTTTTCAATGGAAAATGTAATTGTATGCTTAGACAAAAATGTAATAAAATACAATATTTGTGTGTATGTACATTTTAAAAATCTATTTATTTAGTGGAGTTGTGCGTGTGTGTTCATATTCGGCACTTTGACTGGTGCATCTCTGAACGTATTGCTGTACATCACCTGTATCTTTCCACGTTTGAATAAAAAGTACATTTTCCACATCATTTCTAGCATTACAAGCCGAAGCACTACGACGGAGAGGAGGTGGATAAAGAGTACAAGCCTCACTCCATCCCGCTGCGACAGTCTGTGCAGCCGTCCAAGATGAGCAGCTACGGACGCAGAGCTAGCCGCTGCCAGCCCGATGTGAGTTACAGCTCCTTCACTTACTCCTTTTCAATACATTTACATACCTGTATGAGCAGGAACCTGACACTGAACTGTACTGGCCACTAAGGATCACATTTCAATTGGCGCCACAGATGATCAGGAAATGTACGTTTTATACACCTGGTTTTTAACCCTTTCGAACCCTAACTTTTGAAAATGTGATTAGTGCAAATATTGTGTTTTTCCAACAGCATACAGTTATTCTATCAGAGCATGTTTCAAAAGTAGGTAAACAAATCTTCACTTTATAGAAAAATAGGTCGAGTAACAATGTAAATACTGCTTAACTAAAATATTGTGTTTGTGTTCGACAGTTTAAAAAAAAAAGTACAGTAGAAACATTTTGTGAGTGATATACACAGGAGGAAAAAGCGTATCATGTTTGTTAACATTGTAAAGTTTTAGGAGCATCTAACTAGGAGCCAAAGGAAAATCATAACGGCGTCCATCATTACAGGCAAACAAAAAGTCGATCAGACCGACGTCTCGAGTGGCTGCTGGATGAAAAATATTCTAGCGTGTTCCTCCATGCTGTCATGTAATCCACTTTCTCCAGTGCTTATCCATGTGCCATGTGCCTGAGTTACATTTACAGGAAGATGTGACGGTGCACTCAGAGCTTCACAACTTTTCCTCTCCATGCCGCCGCTCTGCTTCACGCTGCATTTTCAGCTCTCTGCTCCATGGCTGCCATTGTTTTCTGCTTTGTTTTGGTTCCACTTCCTTCCATCTCGACATACCTGTTTATTTCATATGCCACAACCCATTCCCCCCCCCCCCCCCCCCCCCCCAATATCACCAATACACAAAACCATTATCTCACGCTGGTTACGAGCAGCTTTATTTTCTAAAACCTTCTTCCCATGGTTTTGTTGACCTACTTATTATACATTGGGAACGTAATGCTAACCAGTTCTTTTTTTAATTTATGCTGCTGAAATGCATCTTTTGTTTTGCATATTGTTTTACATGCTGCATTGACGGGAATACAAACTAAAGATTGATGCAGATATTGTTTTTAGTTTCAATGTATTTAGGTGATTCACACAATAGAGCGTCACAGTGACGAGTCCTAAAACCAGGAAGTGAGTCAGCATTTCACCACTTCCTGTTCCCTCGTCTCAGAGCCAATGGGATCTCTCCATAGGATTTAGGAAAATATCTGGAACTAAGGTTTGTGGTTGAAACGCATTGAAGAGACGGATCACGTTTTGTTCTACGACATTAAATCCATCAGCAGTGACCCCACTGGTGATTTCTGAAGAGTTGACGTGTCTGAAAAACGATGGTTGTTACCAAGTGGCTGAATAGGACTACAGAAGTTGTCGAGGCCGTTGTATGTCATCACGTAAACACTCTCGCTAAGTTTGTTTTCCCCGTGTTCTGCTTGAAAGCAAGTACCTGCCTCCTGCAAACTGTTCAAACAAACGCTTCAACTCGTACCATTTAGAATCTGTATGTTTGAATATGGATCTTAAGTTGGCGTGACGTTGAAGCAGCGACCCTGCTGTAGTTCCTTTATAGCATAACGTTAGCATTTTGCTTCTGGCGACTAGATTTACAATTAGAAAATGATAAAAGTAGGGTAGACATGTAGAGATTATCCGGCTGAACAAAACGTGATCCGTCTCTTCAATGTGTGTCAACCACAGACCTTATTTCCAGCTGTTTTCCTAAATCCTATGGAGAAATTGCATTGCGTTTTTGTCGAAGGAACCGGAAGAAGTTTACTTCCGGGTTTCAGGACGCGTCACTGTGGCACTCTATAGGGACACTTTTAAGAAATGGGCTTCTTAATATGAAATCTATTTCCTATTGCTTTATTTTTTTTGTAATAATTGAGCAATTTGTTGAGCATTCTTATCCTTTTAGCTTTAATCATACAAGTATTACATGCAAAAAGTCAGTACAACAAGTATTGTGCATGATGACACACTTGCACGGCAACCATTACATTCTTAACACTTTCACAACCATGTTGCCAAACCTGAAATACTAGAAATATAGTCTCGAACGGTATGCTTTCATAATAGTTGAGGCTACTTACAAAATGAAACTAAACTCATACTTAATATGATGCAACCCCATCTAAAATCCACAATATGTTCTATGGACCGGCATCAGATGTCTCATTACGTGTCCAAGTGTCAGGTGGCTCTCTCCCTCCCTCTCATCTCCCTTTTCCCCTCTTGTCTTAGCTTATTGTTGCTGTTGTTGTCTCCCCCTGCAGGGTCCAGAGGATCTGGCCCCCCATCCTCTCACCACTGGCTCTCAGCTCATCTCTGCGGTACTGCCTCCTCCATCTCCATCTTTTTCCTAAACCACCTCACCCCCTCTGAAGTGTCTACTAAAACCTTTCCATTAACATGCGATCATACTCCCTAAGCCGTTATAGGGTCACACGATTGTTGCAGAAATAAAAGAAACTCTTTGGCATTTAAATTATAGTTTAATTATGTTATTGTCCATTTACAGACTAGAACATGACCACAGCGTTGTAGATTACCACGGCTGTTTTGAATATATGTTGTAAATGAACTGTAGGCCCTATGCTGTCTTATGTTGGACAAAGGCATTCGGAGACTAGTTTCTAGCCAAAAACCCAATCCAATCCGGCAGTGGCTCAGTCAGTAGGGGCTTGGACTGTGAGCCGTAGGGTCGCCGGTTCAAGTCCCCGACCAGACCTAAAATATGGAGTGTGGACTGCTACTTGGAGAGGTCCCAGTTCACCTCCTGCCCTGGTGCCCTTGAGCAAGGCACCGGACACCCCCCTTCCCCCCTCACTCCCATTGCTCCCCGGGTGCTGTACAATAGCTGCCCACTGCTCCTAGTACTAGACTCCTGGTACTAGGATGGGTTAAAAGCAGAGAACACATGTCACTTGTGTGCTCTGCATGTGTGGCCATTACAGAGGGTCTCATCCCTCCCACAGTAATTGGTCTTGAATATAAGATGGACCTTTTATTAATCCCCGTGGGGAAATTCAGTAGTTTAAACAGCAACTGGGTAAGGATACATACATACAAGAATATATTAACGTATTCAGACTTGGAACTAATTGCTGTTGAAGAATCTTTAACTTAACGTTTTCCCGAATTACCAATTGTCTGGTTGTGGGACTGAAGCGCTCTCTTGTCTCTCACCATGCACTTCTCCTGTGGTTGCACTTGGCTTCTGGTTGCTTTGTGGCTGGGCTTTCTGTGTGCTTCCTGCTGTTTCGCCTCGCTCTCTCCGCTCTGCAGCAGCTAACTGTGTGGCTGCATGACTTCTCCTTCGAGTGCACTCACACAGAGGGAACCTCGTAGGTTTTCATTTAACTTGCAGAGCACTGGTCTGCTGATGGGACGGTAATTACAAAAAAGACAGTTGTTCTTTTTTATCACATAATTATTGTTTGCCTCCAAGCTTCTCCAGGTTTGTTTGATTGCCTCTCTAATATCAAGCTCTGTTGATCTGCTTTGTCCGTCCCACTTGTAACAGAGTTTAGGTGCCAGGAAAAAGGTTTATTTACTCAGTCAGAAAATATATAACAATAGGCAGTTATATTTGCACATATGTAATACAGGGAGGAGAGTAAAAACAAACATTAAGCATATTCCATTACTCTCTTTGGAAACATGTTGTGTCTGTCTAGATTTTGGCACTGACAAAGTTGTCATGACATTTATATATAATATGTGTTGTTGTGGGAATAGGATGAATCCTTGGGCTGCATATTAAGGCTATTGCATAGGCAGGGTAGGGGGGATATTCAGAAGATAAACTGTGGCAAAAGGTAAACATCTATGGAAATTATTCCCTGACAAAAAGGACTCGGATTTACACAAAAAAAAGGGGAAAAAATACTTGTGATTTCAGCCCAGCATCACCATATAATCATACTCATAGGCATTGTCCCATTGACAACACCCAAGGTTCTTTCTAACAATTATTATCTCAGAATATTCCAGTCTTTTCTATTACATTTGTCATTTCCTATTATGGTAAACAAAAAGTCTGTTAGTTTCATCCATTATGTATGTTTACCTACATTAGCTCTAATGTGCCGTTATAGCATTCAGACTGCACAAAGACTATTGATTTGTAGAAGCCCAACCTCCCAGATTAGGACTAAACCTCCAGTGTGTGAAATTACCATAAAACCTTTTTAAATGTTTAGAGAACACGTTGTTGTTAAATCTTGCTTTTATGTGCCTTTTTAGATCTCGTGTGCTTATCGAAAGAGATGTTAAGACCTTCTGTGTTTCTGTCTACTTTGCTGTTTACACGTGACTTGTGTGTGAAGTTTGCAATCATATGGCAGACTGAACTAGAGGCCAGAGTGTGGCGCAACAATGAGCACCCCACGCTCTGGGGGGCCAAACGGCTCCGTGTCTACGCCTATACGATCATTTTCTGATTAGGATGCCGCAATAGCCCCGCCTCTCCCCACCTCTCCTGCTCACCCCCGTGTCACCCGCGTCATTGCTGATGTGTTTCGCCAACAACAACAACAACAGTTTTCCGAGTGTTTCGAGCCAGGTCCCGGTATCTCGCAGGACAATGCACCCAGCAGGTGCCTCCAGCCGAAATCTAAAATTCTCCGCTCAAAATGTCGCTTATTGTTTAGGTGTCCTTTGACACTCAGGCAGTCATATCATTAGCTAGAACTAGCTAGATCTGATCGATATGGACATAAACGCGAGTGAAGTCTAATCGGACAGGAGAGAGAGATCAGCTGCTGCTGACGGAGAAAAAGAGCCCTGCCTCTCCCCACCTCTGCTGCTAAATCCACCGCGGAGAATAAACAGAAGGGCAACCATTGAAACCATGCTCGGAAGTCTTGTCCAAGTGTGAGGTGGCTCTCTCCCGGCATATGTACTACAGCGTCTCCAGCGGGTCGAGCGGTCTCATGTGGAAGGACACGTTTCTGGTGCCTATTGCGTGTGGACGGAAGACTTTTTTTGATATCGAATTCGGTTCGTTTGCGTTACCGCTCCCGTGTGGCTCCAGCCTTAGAGAATATGCCCCAGTAATAAAAAAGTAAGAAGAAATGTGACCGGAAACGACTCTGACCAACAAAACAAACGTCAACTATTTAAACACTAAAAATGTCTAATGTCTAAAATGAGGACACTTGCTTGTGACATTGCAAAGGAAAAAAAATGACTTCCCTTTTGGTAATACACATTTAAATGTCTTGAGTAACTCAGCATCAGCTAATGTTAATGCATCAAACTCAAGCAAATAAAAACAACAGTAAAACAGTGGCTATCAAACTTCTTCATAGAAAGATGTGTGTGTATTTTTCAGACTAACTTGTCATTTATAATTGATAGGAAACAAACATTTGTTTTATTAACAAAGGTCTAAATAACAGCCTCTGACTGTATGATTGCAACTGCTGGTAAATATGCGTTTTGTTTTGGTTGTGGGTCTTAACGTTAAATCTTTCACAGTGATCTGAGCTAACTTCTCTTGAGTGTGATCCCTTCTTGTGATGCCATCGCTCCGCCCTCATGCCGAGACCCTCGCTTGGCTCTGTGTGCTGTGGAGAGTAGAGTTGTTGTCCATCTATACTTATACGTCTTTTATGATGAAAATGTCCTTCTACCCACAGCCTGAACCCACAGAGGAGGACATCGAGAAGAACCCAGAGCTGAAGAAGCTGCAGATCTACGGCGCCGGGCCCAAGATGATGGGCCTCGGACTGATGGCGAGGGAGAAAGGCCTCCGAAAGAAAGGTAAGGGGCACAACCACAACATCATTTAACCCTGTTTTTTTTCTTTCACGAAACTGTGTCTCAGGGCTTCTTAAAATTTAAAAACCTATTAATGTGTCATACCCGATTAACGGGAAGAAACTCAGCTAACTGAAGATACGAACCATTTTTACCGAAACAAAACACAAGTCTCACAAGAAGCGTCTAAATGAGCCCTGAGCGGAAAAAATGCTAACACACTTGGCACAGAACTCACGTTAAAATACCCTTATTACTTATCGTATCTGCACAAACAAGATATCGATTAGCAAGCTGAGATTCCACAGATTCTACAGGTATTAGTATCATCACTGAGCGATCAGAACTCGCGGCAAAATGACAACAAAATTAGCTTTACAGGACCAAATCGAAAAATAAGTCTTGCTGTGTTCTGATCAAAAGTTTTGTTCAATGGCATTAAAATGATAAAAACCCTGCTGAAGGTTAATCCATAGGTTAATCCAATGTGTCTGTGTCACTTTTACATGATTTCTGATAATCCATCTTCATATTTATGTCAATAATGGAGATTTCTTATTAGCTGTTAATGATAGCCACCAGAGTGTATCGCAGCTTCCGGTTTTGGGCATTCTGGCTGCGCAGCACTCATTCTGGCTACGCATCACTCATTCACCAATGGGTAATGTTTAGATGGATTTTTAGGAACTTCCCCTCGATTCTATTGGCTCTAACGGTTAAAAAGAGGTGTCAATCATCAAAATCGAACGAGGGGGGCCAGAGATATGGAAGATTCACCCAAATGACCCCAGAAGTGTTTTTTTTTTTTTTAATCTCTCTAAAAAGGTCAAATGTCACTTGTTTTGCATCAATCTTGATACAGGGTACTTATTATATGTTATCGTTTGGATTCCTAAAGCTTTTAGTCTCCGATCCCATCATTCAAGGGTGGTTTTCACTATAAGTCATGTTTTTTCTTTGGACGGACACTATCATTTACATTGTTTTTTACTATGTTCAATCTGAATTTACTTTAAAATGAAAAAACATCTATATTGATTCTGACTTTTCTACTTCCAACTCACAGGTTTATCATTACTTTGAGAAAAAAGATTATTAATTTACCCCTTTTAGAAGTGAAGTTATAGTCATTTGTTCTGGGCATGTCATTTTCGAGCCTGAGACCTGAAAAACAGGCTCGGGCTTAACCGGTTAACCACCATCTCAGACACACAGAGACACACAGAGACACACTTATCACAAGGTCTTTTGTAACAGAGAACTGGAGGCAACAATGCATCATACGTTATTTTTTTGATGCAACTGAAGCAATAACTTCAAGCTCCTCAATTATGTGTCCAGTCTAGTTTTTGTTCTGCGTCCACGCCAGCAAATAGCTGTACCCGGAGGCTTTTATTTTCCGCGTTGTCCATCCCTCCTTCAATGCATTCCTCCCATTCCCACGAACGCCTCGAGGGAATTCATGTGCTTTTGTCACAAACATCTTCTTGGACTCAGTAGTGAAGAGAAGAAGATTTTAGGTGGTCAAAGTCACTATAACTTCATGTCCATCCCTCTCTGTTGACTGTAGAAATGAACAAATAGGATTTTGGTGGACAAAGGACATAACTCAAGTATTCATATGCTAGTTAAGACAATTTCATGCAAATGTCTCATAGGATTGTCGTAGCAATGCAATGCATGTTTTAATGCTTGCGAGCATGACGCCTCCACCAAATAGAGCGTCCTGTTCTGTGTGTTACAGCCACTCTTATAGAGAAACATCAAAGATAATTTACATGACAACACAACAACATGTTGGCCCAGGTGATCACCCTATGGCAGTAGGCAAAACTCAAGACCTACAAAGAACAATGGGATATACAGATAACCCCTATCTTAAATTCCTTCCTCCCTTCCGGTAGTGTCATAAAACCCCCTTCCAAAGACATCTGTTATCATATATACAGTCTATGGTTATCACACATACATTGATATGCCATTCCCAGGGTGCAGCAGTTACATTTCATTAGGATTACACTGTATTAAGCTTTAATACCATCATTGCCATAACAGGATAACATTATGAACTGATGTTTTTGACAGTTTTGAGAAGATATAATTATGACCTTGTTTACAGATTATATTTCAGTTGTGGTTAGTTGACTAAAACACTGGGCATTTGATTCCTATCCTAGTCAATGAAACCTGTGACAATTTGATTAAAGGTCCCATGTCATGCTTTTCCGGTTATTACCCGTCCCCTTGTGTTATGTATCTTTTTCTGCATGTAAACGGTCTGCAAAGTCACAAACCCTCAAAGTACACCCTGTAGGGAGTAAAACTCTAACACAGAAAAGACCTGTCTATGCTGCCCCAGAACGAGTGTGTGTGTGTGTGTGCTCAGGCTGAGTTCCTCGGTGTCTCGCAGACCCCACACAGCAACCAGGAAACGACACCAGTAATCCAGCTCACACTGTCCGCTCTTCGAGCCCCAAAGGGCGGAGCAGCGAGCCCCTCAACGTCCCGCCAACACGGCACCCAGACCCTACGCAGTATTCTCATCTGTTTGTCATTACTGGTGTCATTTTCTGGTTGCTAACAAACGCCATTGAAACACATAATCACTGATGTTCCGCTGTAACAGTGGTGGACTCATCAGAACAGAGTGGGCGAGCTGACCAATCAGAGCACAGTGGGCTCATAGGGAGGGGGGGGGGGGCAGGAGCTCCAACAAGCCGTTTAGGACAGAGAGTGAATACACATACTATACAGAGATGCTGTATGAGAAACCAATGTTAATTTGGAAAATTGCACAATATAAATCTATTCTAGTAGACCTCAACAATGGAATTATGATCAGTAGAAATGGCCATGACATGGGACCTTAAAAGCTGAGTCAATACAAACAGGTTTTAGTCAGATTATATTGAACATTTCACTCGGTCTAATCCAAAATATCAAGTAGTTTCTTTCTCATTTCACCTCATTAAGTAAAGTTGTTTTATATATGTTATGTCTTTCTGACTGGTTGTTTTGTGCTTATGCTTTAGTGACACATGCAGCACACAGAACTGCTGTATTGGGCAAAAAACAGTTACTCATCCTTTGAAATAAAGACCGTTTTTCATTTTATTTTCACGTTAACAATATTGCATGTTGTGATAACTGACTGCCCAATCTAAACACTCCTCGCTCCTCCCTTTTTTAGACGAGCCGCCTCAAACCATAAAGGAAAGCGTGTCTCCTGCTCCCGGTGATACTTCGGTCAAAACAGAGACACTAGAGCCTCAGGAGGAGAAGAAGAGTGACGGGAGCACATCGAGCCCACAACCCCCTCCTCAGACTGTCCCCGTTAAGGCTGAAGTGAAGACGGAAGAACCAGGAGAGGAAGAGGAGGAGGAGGAAGGAGGAGGGAAAGGGAAGGGGAAATATGAGGAAGGAGCCGTAGCAAAAGGACCTTTTCCCAAAATGAAAATGAGGCTCCGAGGCAACCTCAACAACCCGCAGTGTGTAAGTAAAATGATTATATCAACATTCAATATCAATATAACATTTGCGCTTCAGATGACGAGGTGAGGGCCCACTGCGTGTAGGGAGGGTCTGTCTACCTACATTAAGAATGCTAAGTATTAGAGCTGCACGATTTGGGGAAATAATCTAATTGTGATTTTTCTGACAGATATTGCGATTCCATTTGCGATATTTGTTTTTAAGCGACCCAACGGAAGTTTATTGTAAAATGCAGCCATATCTCCGCCTAGGAAGGTCGTATCAACGTGCTCCCGTCTCTAGCACCCCCGCAGCCCGAGCTACGAGTGAAAGAACTAAACTTACATGAAGCTTCCGTTGGGTTGCTTTAAAGTCAAGCTTCAGTTTCAGATTCACCCTGTAATAGATGTGAAACATGTGATGGAGCATTACTAACCTGACTCAGATGCTTTGTTTCACCAAAGCATCAGGAAAGCTCCATTGGAAGCCATTTGGAAAAGGGCAGGCACTTTCAAAAATACTTGGCAGGTGATTAGATCAATCTGTCTATCACCTTCTATCATGGGCCACTTCTGATTGGTTAACAATGGCTGGTACATGTGGAGCACAGCGATTCTGATTGGTGTGGATGACTGACGCACAAGAAGAACAAAACAATTAAAAAAAACCTACCTTGCATAACTGCTTGAACCCGTATGGCACAATACAACTCAGTACATTTTTGGTCATTACGTCAATGTTATTCCCTTTCTTTAGTAGAATTGTATAAATTGGAAAGCTAACTAGGTAATCAGCTCATGCGTGGTGAACTGCGTGTTAGAAAAGATGAGATCTCAGACTGGCTTACCTGTACGTCAATCAAGTGGCAAATGCCATAGTAGTATTTCAACGCCATGCGATCTCCCAACACTACCTTTGCGATCGACCGACGTATTGGCCACCCCTGGTATAGATCATAAACACCAATAGGGAAAAACAGGGCTGTGACGGTGTGTATTTGTATATATGTATTAACTAGATGAGACGGTACAGTTTGAATCAAAATCCTTGATTCAAGGTGTACACATTCAGGTCTTTTATGTCACTTTGAGTTGTCATAATATTCCATCTGATATTAAAACATTTATTTTTTATAACAATTTACCTCTAAAACTTCAGGGAAATTTGGTAGCTTAACAAAATGAAGAAGGGCGCCTACATTACACAAAAAGGGTTTTAATGCCATCTTTTAAATGTGCCTAGAATACATATTTTAAACATTTTCCTCACTTGTTCAAAGGTGGACTCTTTTGTGTGTCGGATGTGTGGTCGAGGAGACGATGACGAGAAACTGTTACCGTGTGACGGCTGCGACGATAACTACCACACCTTCTGCCTGCTGCCCCCCCCTCACTGATCTTCCTAAAGGCAACTGGAAATGCCCAAAATGTGTCGCAGAGGTGAGTAAAAATGTTCCCCACGCCTATAACACACTTTTTGCTGGGTTTCTTTTAACCACAAGGACTAATTTAACGTTTAAGTTGAGACGCGGCAGGCAAAAACATCGTTTTTCATGCACTGGTCAATTTTGAGATTTTGTGCTATTTTGATTCCATAACATGTTTTCTTTCAGGCTTTTGGAAGGAAAACGTACAAAATACACATTTAGGTGTTTATTTTACTATAGTTTGTCTATTTGCGTCTGTAGATTTCTCCTAAATTCACCAAAAGTTAGCTTTCTAACGTAACAAAAAGTACTGCGACCGCTGTTTGCACCATCAGAGGTATCGTTGGAAAGCTCCGTCTCTCCTGCACAATCTCATCGGATCCAAATATGGTCATTTCCTTTGTATCAGCAACCAATCGTGAAAGTACAAAGGGGTCTTAAACCAAAAAACGAAATCTCATTGGCTGGTCTCAATTTCTGACAACGTGATTCGTTCAGATGCTAAAACACTTCCTGGTTTTGCTTTCCGCTGGAAATTTAAATCTCAAAATGGCAAAAGAACAGCAAAAAAAACGTTCACATAGAAGACCACAACAATTGTCACTTGCACAAAGCAAGTTTAGACACAAAATAAATGACCCTGACCATGAAACAGCTTCACGAAGTAGCGCCACACAGCAATCTTTAAAGTTCGTTTTCTCAAAATGATTTTTTTCTCATATTCTGAGTGAGAAATCTCCACTTCAGTAGCACTTACATACACCAAACCTTCCAGTTATATTCCTATCAATATTCTGAAGGTTTTTACAGAAGGGTTTGTTCCTATATCATTCATAGCCTGAATTATATAACATTTTATACATAAAAACATGGCGAAAAATTATATTTTAGGGCTGTTGACAGTATTTTCTGATTTATGGAGTGATCGAGATATCCAAAAATCCCTTCTCCTAATATGACTAAAAATTAAACAAGAATTTTGAACCTGGCTTTATCCAATGTTCAGATTTGTGTTCCTGAAATGTACTAAAATATGCGCATATTTAATGAGATTATGGCTCATTTGTATATTTAAACATGCTATTTCATACAACTTGTAATACAAAAAACAATTGTCTTAATGTAAGTAATTAACTGGAGAAATTTCTAGCTGATATCTTTAAGTTAAAAAAATTACCCTATTCACCTGTAGTGTCTCGCCTTAATTGTATCACTTTTTTAGGAGTGCAAGAAACCTGCAGAAGCATTCGGCTTTGAACAGGCGACACGAGAGTACACCCTGCAGAGTTTCGGGGAAATGGCGGACGCCTTCAAAGCAGACTACTTCAACATGCCTGTCCATGTAAGAGAACACACACACACACACAACGTCATCTGTTTATCATAAAGCACACAGAGACTAATCTCCATCCTCCCCGGTGTAGATGGTTCCCACAGAGCTGGTGGAGAGGGAGTTCTGGAGGCTGGTGAGCAGCATCGAGGAGGACGTGGTGGTGGAGTACGGAGCGGACATTCACTCCAAAGAGTTCGGCAGCGGCTTCCCCATGGACAACGGCAAGAAGACGCTCACAAAGGAAGAGGAGGTACGCACCATTGTCTTGGAAATGTGCGAATTTTAAATGGGAAAAATCAAGTGCTCCTTAAAAGTGTTTGTTTTACTTGCATTACTAATAGATTGAATTGATACAATAGCTGTTTGTAGTTTAATGGTTTATCCTGTATCAAAGTGTTTTTAAAACACTTTATTTAGACATTTCACCAGTTACAATGAAATATACTTGCAGTCACAGGGAGTAGTAAACATTTGCAATAAGGGAACAGTATAGAGTGGTGCAGTGACGCGTCCATAGTGAGGGACAATCCTGCAGGTGTAATAACAGTCAAACAAACAAGAGATTACAATATTTTGGTAATGAGACCAAGCAACATTTTTCCTTCGGCGATGGAACTGGTTATCAGCTCATCAGTAGTTTGTTTATTCTATTAAATGTGGCCGTACCACTATTAGACTCCAGAGTTCATTTCCTCTCTCTCTCCCTGGTTGCTCAGGAGTATGCTCGCAGCGGCTGGAACCTGAACGTGATGCCGGTGCTGGAGCAGTCGCTGCTGTGCCACATCAACGGAGACATCTCTGGGATGAAGGTGCCCTGGCTGTACTGCGGGATGGTGTTCTCTGCCTTCTGCTGGCACATCGAGGACCACTGGAGCTACTCCATCAACTACCTGCACTGGTACGCAAAGATTTGTGCATTGTTGTGGGTTCAGCATTTTATCATACTCATAGAATTGTTATTGCTCCTAGTTACATTACGTTTTATCCAAAGCGTCTTACAATAAGTGAAAGAAGTGACTTAATAACGGAGAAATCCTTCATTTACTTCGCTATAAAACAGTTTGGGAAATGTATTGTCTTCATTTAACTCATACTTTTACTTCTTACTATAACGTTCCCTGTCTTTTCTTTCCTTCCCATATATCTCATGGTCTCCAGGGGGGAACCGAAGACGTGGTACGGGGTTCCCTCTGTGGCGGCGGAGCGTCTGGAGGCCGTCATGAAGAAGCTGACCCCAGAGCTGTTTGAGTATCAACCTGACCTCCTGCACCAGCTGGTCACCATCATGAACCCCAACATCCTCATGTCTCACGGCGTACCGGTCAGTCTCACGGACACACACACACACACGGACACACACGGACACACACACACACAGACACAGACAGACAGACACAGACAGACACAGACAGACACAGACAGACACAGACAGACACAGACAGACACAGACAGACACAGACAGACACAGACAGACACACAGACACAGACAGACACACAGACACAGACAGACACACAGACACAGACAGACACACAGACACACAGACACACAGACACACAGACACACAGACACACAGACACACAGACACAGACACACAGACACACACACACACAGACACACACAGACGCACACAGACGCACACAGACGCACACAGACACACACACACACACACACAGACACACACACACAGACACACACACACAGACACACACAGACACACACACAGACACACACACAGACACACACACAGACACACACACAGACACACACACAGACACACACACAGACACACACACAGACACACACACAGACACACACACAGACACACACACAGACACACACACAGACACACACACAGACACACACACAGACACACACACAGACACACACACAGACACACACACGCACACAGACACACAGACACACACACACAGACACACACACACACACACACACACACACACAGACACACAGACACACAGACACACACAATATAACAGAAGAAATATCCCTTCCCAGTCACATCTGAAAATCCGACACTCTTGAATCCTCAAAGAAATCTCTCAGAACTCACTTATTCACCCCCCCACTTTACTCTCACTTGGATTAGGACTACTGTTCATGTTTTTTTGCACTGTTTTTGTTCTGATTTTATGTAAAGCGTCTTTGAGCATTAGGAAAAACGCTATAAGATTCCCATGTATTATTATTATTAAATATGGTTAGTAAAGAAAGTTCTCTTTGATTGACGTGTGTGTTTCTGATCTGCAGGTTGTTCGTACTAACCAGTGTGCGGGAGAGTTCGTCATCACGTTCCCCAGAGCGTACCACAGCGGCTTCAATCAGGGATACAACTTTGCTGAAGCTGTTAACTTCTGCACTGCAGACTGGGTACGGCTGGCTCAAGTTTTCACACTTTTTCAGATATTGGATGAAGTATTTACATTTTTTACTTAACTGTAAAAATACTCCTGAATAAACTGAAGTCAAAGTAATCATCAAAATATAGTTACTGTCTTAAGCAAAGAAGATACAATAAAAACATGATATATACATAGAAAACCCCCCCCCGCATATTTATATAAACATTTGGAGTTAAAGTACAAGTGGCACATCGTAATATATAAAAAATAACGACAATACAATGTATTTTAAATGTGTTTATTACAATATATACATACGTTTATTAGTGTTAATAAAGACACAAATGCTGAAGCTTAACCAGAAGCTAAAGCTGTTAGATAAATGTAGGATGTACGACTTTTTTGTCGTCCAGTAGCCGTTTAAAGTAGCATGAAAAGTTCCTCAAATTTGCATTAGCACTGTAGTTGAGTAGTTGTTCATAGTTAAGTTCCACCAGTGCATTTTTCACATTACTACATACTGATCACTCTATCTCTCTCTCTCCTCTCTCTCTCTCTCCTCTCTCTGTATCTCTCCTCTCTCTCCTCTCTCTCCTCTCACTCTCCTCTCTCTCCTCTCTCTCAGCTGCCTGCCGGTCGCTCCTGCATCGATCACTACCGGCGCCTCCGGAGGTATTGTGTGTTTTCCCACGAGGAGCTCACCTGTAAAATGGCCGCCACACCGGAGAAGCTGGACCTGAACCTGGCAGCAGCGACGCACCGCGAAATGTTCAGCATCGTCCAGGAGGAGAGGAAGCTGCGCAAGGGACTCATGGAACGGGTGAGACACAGAAATACACCATAATCAATCAATCAATCAATCAATCAATCAATCAATCACTTTATTAATCCTGCAAGGGGCAATTGGTTATGAGCAGCTTATGTCATGTACACAGGCAGGAACATACAGGAAGAAAGCACACCTGGATGTGGATCATTCCAATTTACACCATAAATAGTTCATAGCATCACAATAAATAAGTAAATAAATAATCAAGTTAAAAAAACCTATCAAGAATTTAAAAGTTTGAGTGCAGAGGGGATGAATGATTTTTGAAAAGCGATTTGTCTTAAGAGCAGGTAGAGCGTATCCTAGTAACGCAGTGTAGGCGGAGCCGTGACGTCATCTTCAATGCGAACCACAAAACCAACATCAGCCGTTAGCTGTTAGCACTCAGAGCTCACAGCTCCTTATATATGTTCAGAAACTAGACAAAAGTTAAACAAGTACAAACCACAGACTGCCTGTGTCATGGTGAATACAGTCGCTGCTTTATTTATGTCTGTATAGGCCGTTGTTGTGAGTGTGGACGGTCGGAGCATATACTGCGTTAGCTTAGCCGATCTCCATTCAGAAAACACGCATTTTAAAAGGTTTTTCGCCTGCCGTCTGTCTGCAGACTTGTCAAAGCATTAATTCATGGTTTTTACTAACCGGTATCAGTATGTTGTTACTTCGGCATCATTTTGAAACGTGTATTACAATTAAATCACGGTCAAATATGTTCATTTAGTTGTAGTTGTAGCCCCCTTGCCAGCGATTCTCTCTGACCAATCGGCAGTCGAGTGTTTACGTCACTAGTTTAGCATATTCAGCCCGGTTGTTGGCCCGGTAAGAACCTCGATTTTGGAGGGCCAGAAAAAAGGTGAAAAAGTAGCCCTGAGCCGGAACTACGCCTAGTGGAAAAGCAAAAAAAAAAAGGGCCGGGTTTGGCACGGCACGCTCAAACCGTGCTACAGTGGAAATGCGCCAATTAGAGACTGTTTGTTTGTTTATTTATATTATAGGGCTGTAGTGAATGTCATTTTATCCCATTTAAAGCTTCTATACAGGCTTCTTATGAAGTTTCCACCACTTTTTTATATCTACACGGCCACTACTGGAATTCATTTCAATAAATTATGTAATACTTATAATTGTTTAGATTGTTTTGTATATGCTACTTTGCAAAAAAACAGTGTAACATGGTATGAATACACATGCAAAAAAAAGCTGCAAAACATTCAATTTAATGTTTATTTATAATATAAAAGTCACGGTTATGAATGCAGCTTCAAACTATTTGCTTCATCCCTACTTTAGGAATTTCTCTGTTATGTTAAAGGGGACCTATCATGTAAAATGCACTTTTTTTTATGTCTTTTATACATAAATATGTGTCCCCGGTGTGTCTGATCCAGATTTGCGTCCGATATGACGTAATATCTGAAATGTGGACCCACGGCCCTATCAGAAACGTTGCTATCAGAAACAATGCCCGACTGTTTTGGACGTAATGTGGTCGGTGTTTACATTAGCATCGCTAACACTCAGAGCTAACCTGTACTGGAGAGCATGTGTGTGAAGAAGCAGGAAATAAAAAGGAACTCACCTTGTGGTATAACCGGCAAGAGAGAAAGCCTTTGAGCTCCATACTGTTTCAGAAATAATCCTTGATAATCCATGATATGGCGTTTCATCACGGCAGTATTTAGTTTAGACAGTAGCTGCCGGGTCCCGCATGAGCTCAGCCCCCTCCTCTTTTTATTTTGTATCAATCTTTTAAAGCTTCATGCCCAAAATCAGCACTTTTGAAACTCTGACTGATTATAATCTGTGTTGCACCTGCAGGGCATCACTGAAGCAGAGCGTGAGGCGTTTGAGCTTCTGCCCGACGACGAGCGTCAGTGTGATACATGTAAAACCACCTGCTTCCTCTCCGCTCTCGCCTGTTCCAACTGTCCCGAGCGCCTCGTGTGTCTCTACCACACTCAGGACCTGTGCAACTGCCCCACGGAAAAACTCTACCTCAGGTACGTTTCTCCTGAGCAGCTGTGTATAAATGCTTTCTTTCTAGTTTGATCTCAAGTGTCGGTGTTAATTCCCTCGTGTTTCCCCGTCACCCTGCAGATACAGATACACCCTGGACGAGCTGTTAGCCATGTTACACAGATTAAAGGTCCGCTCCGAGTCCTTTGACTCCTGGGCCAACAGAGTGAAGGAGGCACTGGAGCAGGAGGAAGGAAACAAGATAGGTGGGAAATCAACACACAAGAACTGTACATTTGTGAGATTTTGATTGGTCAGCATGTGTGTGTATATCGTTACTTGAGTTGGAACCGAATGTACATGATCTAACGATATTTACAACAAAAACTGTAAATGTCTTCATACATTTGATAGGAATTGTATTATCTTAAATAAAGTGGTTAAACCAATTTGACTTAATTGCAGGAATTGCTGATCTGGAGTTACTGAAGACGGAAGCAGCAGAGAGAAAGTTCCCCGACAACGAACTCCTGCGTAAACTCAACACTGTTCTTAAAGACATCGAGCGCTGCCAGCAGACCAGCACTGACTTCCTCCTCAGTAACTCAGGCAGCAGGTCGGTAGATCGGTGCTTCACATGAACACCAACTGTTTAATATCATGCTCTTACATACTCCTCTCTTCTCAGTGAGAGCAGGATGACGTTGGCAGAGCTGAAGTCGTTGGTAGAGACCATGCAGAACCTGCCCTGTGTGATCAGCCAGCTGGAGCAAGTGCAGGTGAGAAGAGAAACGTTTAGCTTCCCACTTCATGCACTTATACAAAATAAATGCTGCAGACACTTTGAATAAAAAGTTTAAAGGTTGTACCCTTATTTAGTGAACCTTTGTTCAAAATAGAAATAATTCCAAACTTAAGATAAATTAATACAAATGAATATTTAAGAATTTAAAAAAATGCACCAAAAACTATTTTAATGTATGGATAAATACTTTTAAAAAGTACTGCTTCAGAACTTTAAAAAAAACTTTGAATGGTGCATCCCTAAACCCAGTTTGTATTTTTCACCCATTTGAACTTTTCAAAATGTACTGTATACAAAAGTTAAAACAGCTTTTAGATGTTAGACATACAATAAAGCACATTTCTTTGTTTGATTTTCATTCATATTGTACGTTATTTACGTGATTTTTTTTTTTATTATATTATTACAAGTCCATAAAATATGTTTACAAAGTTTCACCTTTTATTTAGTGCAACAATGGCTAACCTTTGTACTGTTTGATTTTCCAGGCTGTTCTGCGGACGGTGGAGGATTTCCAGAGCCAGGCTCAGACTCTGGCCAGCGCCTGGAGGCGGGACTCTCCTCCCGAGGAGCTTCAGTCTCTGCTGGAGAGAGGAGCCACGCTGCCTGTCCTGGTCCCCGAGTGTGAGAACCTGGAGGGCCTGAAGGAGCAGGGAGTGTGGCTGGATGAGGTGAGGCGCACCCTGGGCACAGAGGGCGGGGAGAGGCAGGAGGTGATGCTGGACGTGTTGAGGACCCTGATGGAGGCGGGCTGCAACGTGTCACAAAGCGTTTCTGTGGAGACGGCCATGGCGGAGCTGCAGGAGCTGCTCACCATCGCAGAGCGCTGGGAGGAGAAGGCTCAGATCTGCCTGGAGCAAAGGTGAGAGGAACCTTTTGTGGAGGAAATTCTTAAAGGTCACCTATTGTGCAAAATCCACTTGTTCATGTCTCTTCTACATCAACATGTGTCCCCTCTTCTTCATGTCTCCTCTACATCCCTGCCCACATATTCCTAGTGTTACAGCCTTTGAAGTCAGATTCCACCTTGTCTTTGTACTGTCTCTTTGCATTTTGAATTGCTCTCCGGAGATCATACCTAGACTTCCTGTACTCCTCCAAATCTCCCGCTGTGTGCGCGAGAGTGCGCGCTTTCAGTTTGCCGCGCACCTCACCGTTTACCCAGGGCTTTTGATTTGGGAATGTCCGTACAGAAACCTTCGGTACCACGTCATCGATGCATTTCCCAATGTAGCAGATGACAGTGTCCGTGTGTGTGTTGATGTTATTGTCCTCAAACACACTCCAATCCGTAGATGCAAAGCAATCCTGCAGTGCTGAATCTGACTCCTCGCTCCATCGCTGTACTGTCCTTGTTATCGGTCTGTCCCTTTTAAGTTTCTGCTTGTACGCAGGCAACAACAGTAGTGAGATATGGTCTGATTTGCCGAAGGGAGGGCGAGGGAGAGCCTTATATCCATTCCGGAAAGGGGAATAAACATGGTCCAGTATGTTTCCCCCGCGCGTCGGGAAGTTGATGTGTTGGTAATATTTTGGCAAAACCTTCTTCATGTTGGCGGTGTTGAAATCTCCGGCCACAACGAACGCCGCATCTGGCCGTGAAGTCTCGGTTTTATCAATAAACCCAAACAGCTGATCGAGTGCCGTGTTGTTGTCGGCGAGTGGCTGCGGCGGGATATACACTGCTGTTATCACAACAGATGTGAATTCCCTCGGCAGATGGAAGGCCCGACATGAGATCATGAGGTGCTCGAGATGTGCGGAACAGTCCGATGAAATAATCTTCACATCTGAGCACCAGTTGTTGTTAGTCATTACACACACACCGCCTCCCTTACTTTTCCCCGAGTTAGCAGTCCGGTCCTGACGAAAAATAGAGAATCCGTCAGGGACAATAGCGGAGTCCGGGATAGCGGGGTTGAGCCAAGTCTCAGTGAGAATTAACACGTTACAGTTCTTAATGTCCCGTTGAAAAGCAATCCGGCTTCTGAGTTCATCTAGCTTATTTTCAATGGATTGAACATTAGCCAGAAGAATACTCGGAAGAGGGGGCCGATTCTCTCGTTTTCTCAGTCTGACCAGCAACCCGGCCCGGCATCCCCGCTTTGTCTTCTTCTTGCGTCTCTCAGGTAGAACAGCAACAGGTAGCCATGGTGAATCTCCATTGTTTGTCGGAGGGTTATTATTGTCCACGAAGTTTCGCAATTGGAAAAGTTCCTCTCTACTATATTGTATGGCAGAGTAGGTGCGGTCGGCTAGCATGTTGCGAACCATGTTAAAAGTAAAACGGCAAAAGTAAATGAAATATGTACAAAATACGAAAATGGGCAAAGTTGGAGAGGAGCACGTAGACGATGCGGCCATCTTCACCGGCGCATCATGTGTCCCCTCTTCTTCATCAACATGTGTCCCCTCTTCTTCATGTCTCTTCTTCATCAACATGTGTCCCCTCTTCTTCATGTCTCTTCTTCAGCAACATGTGTCCCCTCTTCTTCATGTCTCTTCTACATCAACATGTGTCCCCTCTTCTTCATGTCTCTTCTACATCAACATGTGTCCCCTCTTCTTCATGTCTCTTCTACATCAACATGTGTCCCCTCTTCTTCACGTCTCTTCTACATCAACATGTGTCCCCTCTTCTTCATGTCTCTTCTACATCAACATGTGTCCCCTCTTCTCCATGTCTCTTCTTCATCAACATGTGTCCCCTCTTCTTCATGTCTCTTCTACATCAACATGTGTCCCCTCTTCTTCATGTCTCTTCTACATCAACATGTGTCCCCTCTTCTTCATGTCTCTTCTTCATCAACATGTGTCCCCTCTTCTTCATGTCTCTTCTTCATCAACATGTGTCCCCTCTTCTTCATGTCTCTTCTTCATCAACATGTGTCCCCTCTTCTTCATGTCTCTTCTTCATCAACATGTGTCCCCTCTTCTTCATGTCTCTTCTTCATCAACATGTGTCCCCTCTTCTTCATGTCTCTTCTTCATCAACATGTGTCCCCTCTTCTTCATGTCTCTTCTTCAGCAACATGTGTCCCCTCTTCTTCATGTCTCTTCTACATCAACATGTGTCCCCTCTTCTTCATGTCTCTTCTACATCAACATGTGTCCCCTCTTCTTCATGTCTCTTCTTCATCAACATGTGTCCCCTCTTCTTCATGTCTCTTCTACATCAACATGTGTCCCCTCTTCTTCATGTCTCTTCTACATCAACATGTGTCCCCTCTTCTTCATGTCTCTTCTACATCAACATGTGTCCCCTCTTCTTCATGTCTCTTCTTCATCAACATGTGTCCCCTCTTCTTCATGTCTCTTCTTCATCAACAGGAACAAAGATTCTCTCTCTTTTTGTCCTGATCCATTTATATAAAAACCTGTCTGAAAATGAGCTGATCAGATTTTGGCCACTTTATGATGTCATAACGATGTTTTGGCTTGGGTAACCATTAGCCAATCAGCAACCAAGGTAACCCCCCCCCCCCCCCTTATCACCTGAATCTCCTCCTAAAGCACCATTGTGTTCTTTTTAACCAAATCTCTCTCAGAGGGGCGTGGGGAGGGGCTCCTTATTTTCATCTAAAGTAACAGACAGAGAATCAGCACTTTGGAAACAGGGCTGAAACAGAGGGGATTATGGGTAATGCTGCAATGATCTGTTTGGTGTTTCAGCCAATCAGAGACATGTTCTGTATATATCTGAGACCTATAATATATTGATGAAAAACAGTATAATAGGGGACCTTTAATAGAAACTGATAAATGATTAATGGACAAAGTTTGTCTTTTGTTATATTTAATAAAGTCATAAAGAAAGTCAAGTGAAAATGATCTCAAATGCAGGAACAGAGCTACTTCTTCCTCAGAGGATAGAGAAGTTCTGCACCCAGAACACAGCTCACAGTCGCACTCTATAGTAGAGAGAAAAGCCACCTGGTCCCACCCTTAAATTCCCTTAGGCATAATCTAAACATCCCCACCATTAAACCATAAAACCCCCTCGTCCTTAACCACTCGCATATCCCCCTTTACACATGTCTCTGTTAAACACATACAAGACTAAAAATACAACCGTGTAAAAGGCAATCAGAGTATAAGACTATATGGTTTAAATGATTATATAATAACTTGACACGACACCTTTTTCTCTGCTTCAGCTGCATAACTCTGAACTAGTTCATCCTGTTGTTAAGACGTTGAAATGTCATCGTCGTGCTGTTGTTCTTGCAGGCAAAAGCACCCTCTCTCCACCCTGGAGGCGATAGTGAACGAGGCTCAGCTGATTCCTGTGAAGCTGCCGAACATCCTGGCTCTGCAGGGCTGCCTCACTCGAGCCCAGGCCTGGGTCACAGACCTGGAGGAGATCCAGGTAGAGAAACAAACTAAATGTTATTCATATTTTATGATATCTGATATTCTTCCCAAGCACATACCACACAAAATAACACTTTCTATCTCAGAGAATATCCATGAATTTCAGCCATAACTGTCTGCCTTTTAATCTTGAATATTTGAGATGTTGCCACCCCTTCCTGTTACCTACAATGCTGTGATAAGTACCATGGCGTAACGACGACATTGTAGATTGTAGAATGAGTTGCTTAGCCATGGGAGGAAGGTAATATTCAGAGAAACCATCCGCAGAACTTGCAAGAAAATGTGTGGGTTTGTTTTGTACTTTGCTTCATTTTGTAATTGGAATACCTAATCAAAGAATACTTGGCAATCTGGTTTACAAGCAAGGAAATACCTGTGGTTTTTGCCCAAATTCAACATGTTATTGTAAGCATCTGAACATTAAGACATTAAGTGAATCTTTTTTTGCATTATGAACTACAACGCAAAGGCAGATGAAAAATATCTCCTTGTTCCACACTGTTGCATTTCCTCACTAGTGGTTGTATCTTTTAACTTTGTAAAATAATCTCAGAGAATTTCTGATATCTTTCCCACACATCACACGTTTCATCTCGGAGAATATCCATGAATTTCCGATGGATATTTGAGATTGAACCTGTTCAACCCGGAGGCCCCCTGTCCACTTAACTGCTCTATAACTCATTGATTTGACCTACAATGGCCCTAGAATGCTGTCATCACATTTAATTGAAGTACCCCAAATTGCAAATGAACCTTATACTGTATAATAATAATAATAATTAATGACATTGTTATTCGAGCGCTTTTCCAAGTGTTCAAAGCGCTTTACATTACATATTACTAGGGCTGTCAAGTTAACGCGTTAATAAAGTTTGCCGGGGAGACGCCTGGACAACAACAGCTTAACATTATGGAGGACGAGGGGCTGTGTTAGATCATTCGGATCGCATCCAACGTGTCGACTGCACATCACAGCGCATTATTTTGACCCTAGGTGGGAACTTCAGTCTCATGCTTTGACTGTTATGAAGACAGAGGAGCGGCATTTTGCCGACAACTGTAAACAGGCTTGTCTGTTTGAGCAACTGGCTCAGTGCAGAGAAGTACACAGGGGTGTGAGAGAGTGAGAGTGAGAGTGAGAGTGAGAGTGAGAGTGAGAGTGAGAGTGAGAGTGAGAGTGAGAGTGAGAGTGAGAGTGAGAGTGAGAGTGAGAGTGAGAGTGAGAGTGAGAGTGAGTGAGTGAGTGAGAGTGATCAAATGATAATAAACAAACATTTGCATAAAGCATATTTGTCCACTCGTATGTTGATAAGAGTATTAAAAACTTGAAAAATATTCCTCTAAGGTACATTTAGAACAGATACAAAAATTGCGATTAAATATTGTAATCGACTGACAGCCCTACGTATTACACATATTGGACATGTAAGAGCGAATACTGTGGACAATACCCACAGGAGCAAATTAGGGTGAAGTGTCTTGCCCAAGGACACAACGGTGAATAATCAGTGATCTCCTTGGTTTGCAGAATGGAGAGCATTACCCGTGCCTGGACGACCTGGAGGGCCTGGTGGCCATCGGGAGGGACCTGCCCGTCTACATGGAGGAGCTGCGTCAGCTGGAGCTGCAGGTGGCCTCCGCTCACTCCTGGAGAGAGAAGGCCACCAAGACCTTCCTGAAGAAGAGCAGCCAGCACAGCCTGCTGGAGGTCAGCAACATTATATTTCTGTCATTAATGCAACAAGATAAGTTATCATATGGATTCATTCAAGGCAAGTTTATTCATATAGCACTTTTCAACACAAGGCAAAGTGCTTTACAAAAATGAAAGACATTAAGAGCATAAAACACATTAGAAACATTACAAAGCAAAGATAATAAAACATGAATAACAAAGGTTCATGAATAAAAGTTACAGTGCAGTGTGAGATGGGAATAGTTCAATTAAAAGCAGCGGGAAAAATAAAGTCTTCAGCCTGGATTTAAAAGTAGTTAGAGACAATTACAATATCCCTAATTCTCACATTCCTCTAGCCCAGGGGTGTCAAACTCGAGGCCCGGGGGCCAAATCCGGCCTGTGACTTCATTTTATGTGGCCCCACAAGAGCTTGCAAAGAATATAATACGTTTATTATATGGTTAAAATGCCGATTTACAGAAGCATGTTGCCCATAAACTACATGTCCCACAATGCATCTCAGATATGCCTTTTTCTCAGAATTGTTATATATTTTTTTTAAATGTCACTTTTTTTTTATTTATAATTTGGCTTTTCTTTTTAAATCATTTTGTGACATTCTCACTGAAGAGACTTGCAATTATTTGCCGTAGACTTCTGCTTTCAGACGTAGTTAATTATGAAGTTATTACCCTATCCGATAATAATCCAATGCAGAGGCAATAATGTAATTTAATACATTATTTTCTATATATTAAATATTTATATATGTATTCTTGTATAGTCTTAAAGCTACAACCGGCCCTTTGAGTGCAACCATAATGCTGATGTGGCCCTCGATGAAATTGAGTTTGACACCCCTGCTCTAGCCCTAGTCTTCCCGTGAAATTATAGTTCTTTTGACAGTTTTCTAACCTTTTTATATTCCTTTCATCCTTCTCTTTCCTCCATTTTGCACCCTTAGACAACAACCTTTCCCTTTTTTACTGTTACCCGAACCCATCTTTGACCTTTAAAACACTTTGCTTTTCAATTCCCAGAATTAGAATATTTAAAATGTTAAATTAAATTCAAGGCTTTATTTTAAATGTGCACAGTAGCTTCAGTGTAGATAGGGCAATGAAAAACTTAAGTCCCAGGCTCCTCCTACAGGGCAACATAAATATAGAATAGAATTGGGAGGGATGAGACCCTCTGTAATGGCCACACATGCAGAGCACACAGTGACATGTGTTCTCTGCTTTTAACCCATCCTAGTACCAGGAGTCTAGTACCAGGAGTCTAGTACCAGGAGTCTAGTACCAGGAGTCTAGTACCAGGAGTCTAGTACCAGGAGTCTAGTACCAGGAGTCTAGTACCAGGAGTCTAGTACCAGGAGTCTAGTACCAGGAGTCTGGTACCAGGAGTCTGGTACCAGGAGTCTGGTACCAGGAGTCTAGTACCTAGCACCAGGAGTCTAGCACCAGGCGTCTAGTACCAGGAGTCTGGCACCAGGCGTCTAGTACCAGGAGTCTGGTACCAGGAGTCTAGTACCAGGAGTCTGGTACCAGGAGTCTAGTACCAGGAGTCTAGTACCAGGAGTCTGGTACCAGGAGTCTAGTACCAGGAGTCTGGTACCAGGAGTCTGGTACCAGGAGTCTAGTACCAGGAGTCTGGTACCAGGAGTCTAGTACCAGGAGTCTGGTACCAGGAGTCTGGTACCAGGAGTCTGGTACCAGGAGTCTAGTACCAGGAGTCTAGTACCAGGAGTCTGGTACCAGGAGTCTGGTACCAGGAGTCTGGTACCAGGAGTCTGCTCAAGGGCACCAGGGCAGGAGGTGAACTGGGACCTCCAAGTAGCAGTCCACACTCCATATTTTAGGTCTGGTCAGGGACTTGAACCGGCGACCCTACAGCTCACAGTCCAAGCCCCTACTGACTGAGCCACTGCCAGACCAATATAGGACATAGAACAAATAAAACAGATGCAAGTAAATACAAATGAAATTGTGTAAGAAGAGTCTATATACAAGTAAATGGAATATGATAAATAATTAGCAAGATGCAAACGGATGAATGTTTATGGATGTTCTTTCAAAAGTTCCGGTGTTTAATAGTCTTATGGCCTGTGGGATGAAAGCATTAAAGTCCGGTGTTTCCTTGCAGGTGTTGTGTCCGTGTGCAAAGAGGCGAGAGAGGCGGGACGAGATGGATCAGCTGGACGAGCCTTTAGAGGATTCTGACTCCAACACACTGGGCCTCTCTGCTCACGACCTGAGGGACCCTGCAGCTATTGTGAGTCCAAATTTAAGCGTCCATTAAGTGAAAGTCGACTGGGCAGCTAATTCTTCAGGCGTTGTTCATGTCGGTCGACTAAAGGCTTTTGTTTTGAACTCAGACTCACATTATTATTCTAAGTGTCTGATAACATCATAAAAGGATCCAAAGTCAAGCTCAAGGATACATGTTGTTGCAAAAACACACAAGGTGACTTTTTGTGTTGGAAATGTGAGTGAGTGTTGAAGAGAGAAATGTCAGTGTTGAATATGTAGCTGATTTCCACAATGTGGATTTAAACAAGACTTCACTATGAGGAAAACTTAGATAGACACAAAAACAGAGAGAGCTTATATATATATATATATATATATATATATATATATATATATATATGCAGAGATGTTTTTGTTCTTTGCAGAGGGGGTTTTGTGACTGCCTGTTGCAGCGTCATCACTCGATGCTCAACGGATATTAAAGTGCCTTTAGTCATTGAGAGACAAAAATAGGTTCCACAAAGAATTCAAGTGACCCTTTTCATAGATACATTTCTGTGTTCTTAAATACATATTATTTCTGTGTGTAAAATGTGTGTGTCTCGTCTCCAGGTGATGGCGTTCAAAGAGGGCGAGCAGCAGGAGAAGGAGGCGCTGCTGAGGCTACAGAAAGGGAACATGTGTAAATCTGGACTAAACTCGGCGGGGGGGAGCAGCAACAGCAGCAGCGGCTCGGAGGAGAAGGAGAATGGGAGGTGGGACATGGACAACGCCATGGAGACGGACATATCCAGCCACTCGGAGAACTCTTTATCAGAGAACGGGAACCACACACACACTCCTCAGGCGGTGTGTGTGTGCTCCGCTCAGCCTCGGGCTCCTCAGCTGCGATGCCACCTCTGTAAGGACTGGTTCCACGGGGGCTGCGTCTCCTTCCCCTCCCTGTTCCCCTCCTCCGGGCCCCAGGAGAGCGCCCTCTGCTGGTGGGACTGGGACTCGCGCTTCTTGTGTCCGCGGTGCCAGAGGTCGCGGCGGCCCCGTCTGGAGACCATCCTGGCGCTGCTGGTGGCGCTGCAGAGGCTGCCGGTGCGCCTGCCGGAGGGAGAGGCCCTGCAGTGCCTCACCGAGAGGACCATCACCTGGCAGGGCCGCGCTAAAGAGGCCCTGGAGACCCCCGAGCTGCAGGGGGCCCTTCAGAGGCTGCAGGAACTCAAAGAGACTCTGCGTCAGGAGGCAGAGAGGGACAACGGAGAGAAGGTGAGGAGCTCTGTGATCGTTTTATCAGACTCTGAGGGAGGCGAGGGAGAGGAGGGAGTCATCGATCTGACCGACGAGAACTCGCCCAAGAAGAAAAGCAAGGAGAGCAACGGTGTTCCGGTAAACAAGCCTATTCTTACTCTTTATTATACTAAACAAACTGTGAAACTGACTCAAATAACCGTTAGATTTCATTTTGTCTTTACATTCATTCTCATATATTAAGTTGACTTCCTTTTCCCCCACAGGCTGGATGTGAAAATGGCATCAACAAGAAGTTAAATGTTACAGGTAAGACGTGTTGATTTTAAGGGCTGCAACTCACAATTATCTATTTTATCGATCAAGTTTATAATTTCTTTATGTATTATTTGGTCTGAAAATGAAGTACAAAAATATAAAAAACAGCATCCCAGTTCCTCATTCTGTTTTTAAAAAAATTCCAAAACACGAATATATTTAACTAAGGGGGTTGTCGGGCCAAACCACGCCCCTTAGCTGTGATATAATGAGCATATATCACGGCCTGAAGTGAGCTATTGCTTTTATAAAACGGTTACCAAGTGTGGCAATATGAAAGAAAAATACACACTCTAATTTAAATAGTTTTTATTAGTAAATAATGATGTTCAAAATAAAATAGTCCCTCTGTTGCCTTCTGCACGAAACATAGTGCGAGGTGGTTGCTATGCAACAACACTAACAACAGCTAGCGAACATATTAGACAGAGAGCGTTGATCCATTATTTGGCTATTTATTTACATTAATTTGTATGTTGCCGTTTATTGTGCACCCACTGAAAAACTGTCCAGCATCAGTAGCATGGCTTACGTGGTTACTTGTATCGGCTGAGGTTGTTCTAGGCTGTTGCTTTGCGTGGTGAGAATATTGCTCCACTTTCTCCGGTCCCCGAGATTCGGCTTCCAGTAGCTCTGAAGAGAGCTTTTGCACCTGTGGCCACTAACGGCCCCTACACACGGCGGCGTGCGTTGAAGCTTCAACGCTTCTGCCCATTCACTTTGAATGTAGCTCTGCATGTCGTCGTTTAGGGGCTTTCTGGAGATAGGCACTCCTCAATCCACTCCTCCATAGTAAGGCCACCCCGGAGGTCCAAGTTAACCTTACATGTTTCCATCTTAAGCTTTGTTAGTTAGTTTCGTAACGGACGTGTTGTAACGGTTATAACGGTTGTAGCTGTTTCTCAGACGCGGAGGGATACTGACTTGTGAAAAATAACTACAATTCTACCCGTGATATACGCTCATTATATCACGGCTAAGAACCAATCAGATTGCTTGATTTGACTTGTCAGTTTTATAATTACTCTTATATGATATAAAATAGAGGAACATTGGAAATCTTCACATAATAGAGGCTGAAAAAGGCACTTTTTTGACATTTTTGCAATAAATATTTTTAACTACCTGTTAATTGCATAATTTCAAAGCGTCTCCTCACTGTTTCCCCCTCTCCCCCCCCAGGTGTGGGCTCTCTGCTGGCCCTGCTGCCCCTGCTGAAGGGGGGGGTGGTGGAGCTGCTCCCTGCCTCCAGAGAGCAGCTGGAGGATCTGCAGCTAGAGGGAGACCTGCTGGAGGTTTCTCTGGATCAGAGCCTCACCATCCACAGGGTCCTGCAGGCCGCCTCCAGCCCCCCCACAGACACACTGCGCACGCTCATACAGGTCAGCAACATAACTCTCTAACTTTGAGGTGCGTTTCCACAATGCATAACCAGTGTTGGCAAAAGTACACGCATCCTTTACTCAAGTAGAAGTACAGATACTCGTGTTTAAAAATACTCTGGTAAAAGTAGAAGTACTGACTAAACTTCTTTACTCAAGTCAAAGTAAAGAGGGCTTTGAAATGTACTTCAGTAAAAAGTACCCATAACTAGCAGCTGTTTTAAAGAGTACCTGACCTCCCTTTATATTAATAGAACAATAATGTCATTGTTAGCTAATGAATGTTTCCATGCTGAACAACGGCAACATGACAACGTTTTCATTGGTCCCTCTTCTTTAGAGAAGACCAGGAAATGATGGATACACGGATCGTGTTCAAATCAATAGGCACGCAATGACTCTAAATAATAATGATCACGCCACCAAACACACATTCAAACTAAAGGAACCAGCCTGTTTGGGAAATGTGAGAAGTAGAAAGTACAGGTATTTGTGTTCAACATGTAAGAAGTAGAAAGTACAGGTATTTGTGTTCAACATGTAAGAAGTAGAAAGTTCAGGTATTTGTGTTCAACATGTAAGAAGTAGAAAGTACAGGTATTTGTGTTCAACATGTAAGAAGTAGAAAGTACAGGTATTTGTGTTCAACATGTAAGAAGTAGAAAGTACAGGTATTTGTGTTCAACATGTGAGAAGTAGAAAGTACAGGTATTTGTGTTCAACATGTAAGATGTAGAAAGTACAGGTATTTGTGTTCAACATGTAAGAAGTAGAAAGTACAGGTATTTGTGTTCAACATGTAAGAAGTAGAAAGTACAGGTATTTGTGTTCAACATGTAAGAAGTAGAAAGTACAGGTATTTGTGTTCAACATGTAAGAAGTAGAAAGTACAGGTATTTGAGTTCAAAATGTGAGAAGTAGAAAGTACAGGTATTTGTGGTAAAAAGTCGTCAGAAAAATTAGTAGTGGAGTAAAGTACTGATACCAGAAAAATGTACTTAAGTACAGTAACAAAGTATTTGTACTCCACTACTTCCCACCTCTGCTTTTAGAGATGGAAAGCAAAATATCTGCATACAAATGAGACGGTGGTCTGTACTGATTGTATGTACAAAGAACACAAACGAACAATAACGAGTAAATTAATCTCCTGCATTCACTGCCAGTGAGCCTCAGACACACCATTATTTACCAAAATAAATCTGACTATTATATTAACGCATGAGGCTTAAAGGTAGGGTAGGTAAGTTTGAGAAACCGGCTCGAGATACACTTTCTGTTATATTCCATGGAATGCTCTTAACATCCCGATAGCAATGAATATCTTAAGTGCTTTGACAACAAATCCATAAAAAAATGTCATCTGTGGAAGCCGTAGTACTGTAAAAAGCACGACCAATCATTTGAGCCGGCCCGGCTAAAATAACTGGATGGCCTACCTGCCTGTCAGCCTTCCATCTGTGCACAAACTTATCTCGTGCCCTCATTGGTCATGTGCGCGTTCGTGTGTGTTGGAGGAGGGGCTCTGTAAGGAAGTGGAAGATTTTCTCCGGTTGTGTATTTTCAAATTCTAGCGCACTCGAGCCGGTTTCTCCAAAATGACCTGCCCCACCTTTAAGAAGACACTTAAGACGCTAAATCTGACAACAGGGTTTTGGAACAAAAACGTCATTAGTGCAAACGAGTAAAGACTATTTTGGGAATACTGCTCTAAACTTTGATCAAAGCGTGTCAGTGCCGTCTACACATATTTAATTCAAGGTGCCCTTTGGATTGTTTGACAACACTTTTTATTTACTTTAGATTTATAAAACTCAGTGTGTCTTTGAGGCAAAAGAAACATGTTGAATAAAAGATTTAGAATTTTGTCTTTGAAGTTTGAACATGCTTTATTGATTTGTCTGCAGTCCTCTTCTTCTACTTGTTCTGCTTAGTGTCTTTCGTCTTTGCCAGTGTCCCCTAGTTCAATCATGATGGACATAATGGATTTCTGATTAATTCAATTCATCTTAACTACATAATCCTCCCATAGTCTGTTGAAAAGTTCATCATTTCCATTAATAAAATGACATTTTATGTAAAAATGTGTTCTTTTTTTTACATTTCTGTGAGTTTAAAATGCTCTGTTTTATCAAGAGTACATTCTGACAGGTGAAGGAGCTAGCAGTTCTTTTCGGAGGGACAGGATAATATGAAGTTGTTAGTGATGTCAGTCCACTGCTTCCTCTCTGATAATCCCCCCTCTCTCTCTCTCTCTCAGATTGAGCTGGAGGAGCAGAGGCGATCGAGCCGAGGCCGAGCGAAGGACTCAAAGAGGAAGAGGAAGAGTCACAGAGGAGGAAGTGGAGAAGGAGCCGGGGGGCGGTCACTGGATTCTTCAGAGTCAAAGAAAACCTGCCCCCTCAAACACAGCTCCCCCCCTCAGTTACCTGTCTACACCAAACCAGAGGTAACCCCCCCCCCTTCTTATCTTTCAGTTACTTAAACACTTGTGCCCTAATAAGGACATGTGTAATAATGTGTGGAAGTATATTAACATACTGGCGTTTTAAAGGATTACAATTCTGACAATAAATAAATATTTTAAATATCATGCATGATCTTAACTACCAAATCTTTAACTCTCTCTATATAGATAGTTTTAATTTAATTGTATTAGTATTTTCTTTTGTTGATCTTTAATTCAAAACAACATGGCCGTTATGTAAACAAAGGATTATAATACTAATACAAATAATTAAATAATACATTTGCTATAATGTGGACTAATTTGAGTAAAGGTGGAACAAAAGATATTAATATAAAGTCTTTTTAAAACAGTTATAGTAGCAGGGGGTCCGCGGGGTCTTAAAAAATATAAAAAATTGATAAATCAATTTAGCGAAAATTAAGGCTATTAAAAAGTATTAAACGGCATTTTCCAAGGTATTACATTTTGTAGCTTGTTTTCAATAAGTATATAAATTGTCCAAAGAGGTATTCTACCGTGTGCCTGAATGTATTCATTGCGTAGGTGTGTAGTGTGATTCTGTGTAGTTTATTTATGGCATCCCGTTGGATTTGACGTCATCTGAACAGGACATCTCACGCTCACTGCTTGATAGCGCGCGCAGGTCCGTTTACGCCGGTTGTTAAACAACATCGTTATGGGGAAATGCAAGTTTGCGTCCAAATGGTTGGAAGATAAGGAGGAAGGACAATCAATACTGTATATAGTAAATGTGAGGTAAAGTGTGTCGCCAAGGTAACCGGTTAAAACTCGAAGTGGCGATGAGGTCTTAAAATGTATGGAAAGGGTCTTAAAAAAGGTCTTAAAGGAATTACATTTGACTTCAGGATTCCTGCATATACCCTGAGTAAGAATTGATGTCCTTAAGTGGGATATTTTTTTTATATCTGAAACTGTAAATTAATTCAAGTTTTATTTGACATTAACATATTTCCTTTTTCTCCTTGGTCAGATTTTGTGATAAAGTCACGGCTGGAGCTCTGTTTAAAGGATCGTCGGAGGAAGTGTCAGAAAGATGCCGGACATCCCCCCCCCCTCTCTCACCCCCCCCCCCCCCCCCCCCCCTCCCCCCTCTACACCCCCTCTCATCCCTCACCCAGACACTAACAGAGCCACAACTTATTCTACACTCCACCGCCATATCTCCCCCCAAAACGTTACTCCCTGGACCCATGTCAGACTGAGGGGGGGGTCTCAGAGGTCGGTCAGTATGCTTCGTTATCCCAGCCGTATTAAAAGTTAGTTCATCATGATGTCGGATAAGCTATTTAGTCCGAGTTGTGAGTTTGGACCCCGCAGCCGAGGAGTTTTACTGCTGATCCTTAAAGTCAACAGCACCGTGGTTACACTTGTATTTTTTTAGCTGTATTGAATCTTGTGTTTGATGCTGTTTTTGAGGAGACATGCATTTTTTTGAATAAACTGAGAACATTTTGGGAAGTGTTAAAAACAGGCATTAGTGTTTTTGGTGCTACTTTCCCAGAATTAATATCTGTACCTCTTGGCTGTCTCCTCCTTTCCTTTCCCCCCCCCTTTTTTTTTTTAAGCACCCATCCTTTTGACTCCATATTTTATTCCTTTTCAAGTTCCCCCCCTCCCCTCGTTCTTTATCTCTCTTTAAGGTAACTTCACTGTAACTCATTTTGTTTCCTGGTTTCAAATATTATTATTATTATTATTATTGATATTTCAGACACGCAGTCGTTGTGAGTTTGTGTATAAACTTTTCATTTAAATGTTGCCTTTGTTTCTTTTCACTCTTGTTAGAAAAATAAAGGTTTAGAATTGTTTAGGATATGTTGACTCCTTATTTCTCATCAAAAAATGCTTTAAAGGTGACCTATCATGCTATTTTTAGGCAATAGCATAGGTCTCAGATATATACAAATATATAAAAAACATGTCTATGAAGTGTTTTGCTCAAAATACCAAACAGATCACCCATTCTAGCCATGCCTCATATCCCTCTATTTCACTTCCTGTTTCAAAAGTGCTGATTTGGGGTATAAAGCTTTAAAAAATTCAAAATTGATTCAAAATTAAAAAGGAGGGGTCTGAGCTCATGCGGGACCCGGCAGCTACTGTCTAAACTAAATACTGCCGTGATGAAACGCCATATCATGGATTATCAAGGATTCTTTCTGAAACAGTATGGAGCTCAAAGGCTTTCTCTCTTGCCGGTTATACCACAAGGTGAGTTCCTTTTTATTTCCTGCTTCTTCACACACATGCTCTCCAGTACAGGTTAGCTCTGAGTGTTAGCGATGCTAATGTAAACACAGACCATACGTCCAAAACAGTCGGGCATTGTTTCTGATAGCAACGTTTCTGATAGGGCCGTGGGTCCACATTTCAGATATTACGTCATATCGGACGCAAATCTGGATCAGCTCCGTTGTAGCCCCGTTTTTAGAGATTTGGGTACGGAGGAAAAGAGAGGGTTTTATTTTCTGACGCTGCGTGAGTTCCCTGACACACCGGGGACACATCTTTATGTATAAAAGACATCAAAAAGTGCATTTTGCATGATAGGTCCCCTTTAAGAAATGTATAATTAAGGACATCAACCACATTTATTTAATCATCACAGCATTTATTTAGAAAAGCTTTCACTGGAAAATGGCCGACACACAACAAACGTCACAATATTGAACAAATACACCATGTTTGCTTTGAGTTTTCAAGCAAGTTCATAGAAAGACACATCCACAATTACAGAATGTTAAAGGCTTAAAATGGAAAGAAAAACATTTCAGCCTCAATATCAAACATGCATATAAGCCAAATGAAAAGATCAGCTTTTGTTCACAGGGTTTTAGAAACACCCCATTATTGGCTGTTGTTCATTATAGGTACGTTCGCTGTTGGAGCACTTTTAATAAGCAAAATCTTCTGTTTTGAGTTAAAAAAAAATACAGGAAAAGTATAGAAAAATCTGCTGGCAATGAAGCATTTAACTGGGATTTAGTTTGCAAAAGTTAGTCTTGATTTCCAATGAACTAGGCTTGTTCACAGTCGACAGTGAAATACATTATTTTGCATACTGACCAAAACGTCTTGTACGTCTAAGTAAAAAAAAAAAAAGATTTTATGGTTTTCATTTAAATGGCAACTGTACGGCGGCGCAAAAACACTTCCATTAGGAGAAACGCGCTGCAGCTTAAAAAGTAAATGCAAAAATAAAACTCAAATTTGCCAAAACATGTAAATGAAGAAACCTCTTCACCAACAAACATGTGCAGCGTTTCCTAAATGCTGCACATGCAAATCAACATATGCTCCAAGAAAGGAAACCAGGGACACTAAAGGTTGGTGAACAATTTTTCTAAATGCTGTGCACGTGATTTCAAGTTGGTAAAAATGTTTCTTCATTTGCAGGTTTTTCTGCATCGTTTTTCAAAATGCAGTGCGTTTTTCCTCATGGACTGTGGACGTTGTAGCGCTTATATTTCAGTAAATACCAATGTACCTTTTATGAATGAAAAATCAAAGGTTTTCTGTGCTTTGTTTGACACCCTGTGCCTTTCTCCAAAAACATAAGAGAAAACGCCCGACATTTTGTCCGTGCTTCAGCGTTCAACTCGGTACCTTCAGCCTTTTTTTCAATTGTTTGAAAGTTGTGCTCTACAGTGAAGTCTGCCTGAAAGAAAGGCACCGCTCAGCTCGTCGTTATCAAAAAAGCATCTGTGGTGAGACAATGCCGTCCTGTATCAAAACAAAAGCCGCTTTCACACCAAGTACTTTGCCGTACTTAGTTCCCAGCACTTAGTACCCTATGGAACTAAAGAGCAGATCGCGTTCACACCGGAATAAGTTCCCTGAGGGAAGATTAGTCAAATGAAGCCGCTGACGTCATTTCTTCTTCTTCTGCTTTGGGTTTACTGGCAGGCCGCAAACCACTTCACGGTGTATACTGCCACCCGAAGTCCCCGGCCGGAAGTCCCCAGAGTTGGGGACTGGCTTCAGTAGAAGCTGCTGGGACTCCCAGCAGCTTCTACTGAAGCCTTCCCAGTAAATCGCCAGAACGCCGACACCTCCTCATCACTCCACCGCTACCATGTTTTATTTTGTGTTGCCATAAGTTATTCTCTCTCCGTTGGTGCGCGGGGCTAATGCTAATGCTAATAATGCTAATGCCAGCAAATACAATGGCGGCTTCAAAACACTTTTCAGAGTTTTACGGGGCGTGGTTTGCAATTCGCCCAGCCAATCAGAAATTGGTACTTTTTTCTCCCCAGGAAAGTACCACCTCTAGCAGGCACTAAAAATGGGGGAAAAGTTCTCTGAACTAAGTTCTCTTTTTGGTGTGAACGCAAAATTCCAGGCACTATCGGAACTAAACGGGAAAAGTACTCCGGTGTGAAAGCGCCTACTGAAAAGGGGGTAAAAGTTCTCATGAACTAAGTTCTCTTTTTGGTGTGAACGCAAAATCTCAGGAACTATTGGAACTAAACGGGAAAAGTAAGTGGAAAAGTACTCGGGTGTGAAAGCGCCTAAAGGAGCATTTGTACATGAAGACTACAAGAATGAAGACGATTTAACTACATCCACCGGCACACAATGTCCTTTTGAAAAATGTCCTTCAGCAAACGGACTCTAAATATACAGTTTTATGGCACAGAAGTGGCTTTTTGCTCATGTGTTCACATTGTTCTCAGCCCCACTTTAGATTTTCCTCCATTCTCTCCTTCATACAAATGTAGAGGCCTGCAAAAACTACTTTTGTGCAACACTCCTCTAATGGCTAAACCGCAGGGGGTGCCATCTCTCCTTTATATAGGAAGATGCTCATCTTTTCCTCTGCGTGTCTTTCCTCTTCTTTTTGTTTTGTGCATCGACTGTGTGACATTCAAATCGGAAAAGCTGGTTCAAGTGTCTGTGAAAGACAAAGCGATCACAGTCCTTCCGTGTGAGAGGAGAGGTAAAGCATTGTGAAAATGTCTGGAAAACCTTTCCTGAGTCCATTCGTATGTTTGAAATGGATTCAGCGCATTCAAAAATGACCGCGTTTCTTTTGTGGCGTTTGTAAATCTGCATTTATGTAAAGCATCTGCAGTTTGGAATCAAGAAGATTGTAAATGTGTGCTTCGACTCTCTGGCAGCTTCCGTCATTAGCATCCTCCAAATGTTTACGTTGGTGCCTAATGTGTGCTTCTTTATATTACCATCTTTGCCCGCCTGCAGATACATTTTGGTGCCAAGTTTGACTAAAAGCAGCTCGTGTTCTTCCAATAGTCTCGATCAAAACACATATTTCTCACCAATCTCGAAACCCATCAGATATTGCTCTGAAGACAAAAAGCCTCTTGGGGTAACTAGGGAGTGTCAACAGCGGTTGTCCCGGCAAAAACGTCCTTTTCCAGGCGCTTTTCGTTATTCACTGTCCAATTGGCAACTTGAGACGTAAGCAGGAAGTTGCATTCAACAAACAATGACCATTACTGTACAAGTAACCAAACTACAGTCCAATTTTAAGCTAAATCTTTGTCAGACGATAAGCGCTGGGTTGCAAGATTGCTTTTTAGTCCAACACATTTAGCATTTTTCCTTCTTACATGAACTGTTAGCTTGTATTCAACCAAAGCTTGCTCAAACGTCACTGGTCATTACTTCTTGGGACGCTTCCCACACCCACATCTTGTCCCGTTGCAGATTCTGCATATGAATACTGAATTGACTCAATCTCTTTGTTACTCTCAGCCTCCCGTCTCATCTCAGACTGTGGTGACGGACAGCAGGGGGTTGTAGACCTTCTTCCCGTCCGCAGACCTGCTCCCGTGGGCCAGCAGCTCCTGAATAGTGATCCAGTTGTCCATGATCCTGCGACTTCTCTTCTTCATGCTTCTGCGGTGGCACAGCTCCAAAATGGTGGTGGGTTCTTGCTGCTGGGTCTCCCCTTGCTGTCCACCTCCACCACCACCCTGATCTCTATCACGCTCCTTCAAACAGTCCAATCGACTCTGCATCATGAACTCCCGACGCCTCCTTTGCTCTCGGGCTTTCTGCAGCTGCTGTTTACGCTCTTCTTTGCTCCAGTAGCGCCCCATCTTCATCTCGCTCACGGCGTCGTCGTCAGTCGTCATGCCGCTGCGCTCCTCTCGGATCTTCATGGCGCGGGCCTTCAGGAGGCGATCCCTCACCGGACGCTTGGCCACGTAACGAGACCCGTCGCTGCGGATCTTCACCTTCCACTCCATGCGAGGCGAGGCGGGCAGCAGCGGAGGAGGAGGAGGAGGGGGAGGAGACAAGGGTACCTGAGCGACGTCTTTACAGGTGCTTCCCAAACTCATCGGGCTGTCGTCGCCCCAGGTATCCATGAGTTGCTCGGAGGCGGTGGGCGAACGCAACTGCATGCAGCTCAGATAGTGCTGCTGGGGCTTCGTGTCACGGCGGGACAGGTAGGGACTATTTTCTGCGCTGTATCCTCCAGACCTCTCACCTGTGGGTTTGAGATTACGTTTGACTTCTCCATCTGAGCCCCGTCTGGTTCCTCTATCCCGGGATAAAGACCTGACCTTAACTCCTGGGCTGGATGTCTTGGCGTCGGCTCGCTTCCTGTGAGAGTGCGGGGAGTACGTTTGGTTCAGGTTTGCTTGAGTCTTGTCTCCTCTTTCGCCCCTCGTCCCCCTCTCTTTGTGCCTTGGTGAGGCTGGGAGATGCACACCTGACGCAGGGAGAAGAGGCTCTCCTCCCTCCAGACTCTGAGTGGAGGGTGACGGGTGTTGATCGTTGACCAGAGGGGTGCTCCTGCAGCTTTCCCCTCCGGTGTTGTAGGCACTCGTGCTGTCCTTATCCGAGCGTTCCCTCTCTGGGAGCTCGTTAATGTCCGACAGCGCGTGGTGGCACGACTCCCCATCGACCAAACTCACGTCCAATCGTCCGGCTCCTATTCCACTCGCTCCGTTCTTCTCCTCTTGCGGCCACGCCTTCATGCAGCGCTCCCTCAGCTGCTGCATCTTCTGCGCCCTCAGGATGTTGCGACACTTGAACTCCAGGTGGCGCAGCTCCTCTTCCAGGAGGGCCATCTCGTGCTGCGTCAGGCTCTCGTTCCTGTTCACATCCAGCGAGACCCCACCACCACCTCCACCTCCACCTTCACCTTCTTCTTGTTCGAGCCCCTGACCCTCCAGAAGCATCAGAGCATTGCTGTTCTTCTCGTAGTAACACTTGATCTCCAGGAGCTCCTTGTAACGCTCACACTCCTCCTCGGTGAGCCCGGGCATCATCATCCTCACGGGATCGGCCGCATACGTCCGCTCCACGTGCTCGAATCCTCCACAGTCCAGTCCTAAGAGGGAGTCTGTGCTGAACTGGAGGTCCTGGGAGTGCAACAAGGGTGGTGTATCCTCTCTTCCGGAGAGAAACTTCCTCATGCTGCCGGGGGTGTTGGTTGTGTTGGTGTTGGAGGCGCTGGTGTGATCGTCTCCCAGGAGGTCGTGTTCCGAGGACTCCTCGTAGCGAGTGCTTTCGTCTGTTCGACCGACACCGCTGTCCAGCTCCTGGCTGTTGCTCAGCACCGCGTGCAGCCGATCAGGTGAGTCTCGGTTCAGAGAGCGATGGAGTAAACCTCCACCTGCAACACCGCCCAGAACGGAGGTCCTCGCTCTGCTGGGAAGGTGATCAGCGTTGTCCACCGGCTCCAAGTCCAACTCGTCTGGATCCAGCTGGTTGTCGTTCTGGGAGTAATGGTGAAATGTGGTCGATGGCAGAAGGTGTAAAGTTGGAGAGACAAAGGAAAAGTATTTTGTTAGACTTGTTGCAATGCTTATATGCAATGTCAAATCCAATGCATTTATTAATATAGTGCTTTTTCCAGTCTTTACAACTGGAGAAAGCACTTTTACAAATACAGGTGAGTATTCACACACAAACACAGTCAGACACAGGTGGCTGAACTTGGTCGAATGGCAGAAGGCGTAAAGATGACCAGACAAAGGACAAGTATTTTCTCAGACAACGTTTTACACAACTTTTTTAATATATGCTGCTACTTCTGAATCAGAATACTTTAAATTGGTTTTCCTGCTCTATTTAAGAATTAAATATATTTAAAGAAGGTGCAATAAATATAAAAACATACAAATACTTATATATAAAAAAAGATATGTACAAGCCATACACCATACACCTTTACTTCCTCACCATGTGAACTATCTCTGAAGTTGACTACAGCATTTCCTATAACTGATGTGTAGCAGTTCCCTTTCCTGCCACTAGATGGAGCCAGTGCTGTGTGAGATTGTAATATCGGTTAAACACTGCTGCTTTATTTGGTTTCTATTGATTTCCATTGCAACTAGGTAAATATTGTTCCAAAAACAACCAAACATGAGCTACTCGATAGGAAGAAATTCGATTTTTCCAGAGAGATGCATAGATTTAATATTTATAAGGACTGTTGTTCAGAGCTGCTACTGTTGCTGACTTAATGGAAACATCTGGTCAAATATTAAAGTACAACAAGTATGAGCATCAACATATACTTCAAGTACCAAAAGTAAAAGTACTAATTATGCAAAATGACCCATTTCAGAATTACATATAGATAATTGGATTGTAATTATTGTTGCATTAATGTGTTCATCACGTCAGTGTTGCAAAGGTGGGGTTTATTTGACATACTTTATATACTGCTGGGTTGATTTCAATGTGTAACAATGATCTAAATCTGTAAAGTAGATGTAGTAGAGTAAGAAGTACAATTTTGGCTTTCAAAATGTAGGAGAGTATTAGCATAAAATAAAATAAAAACTAAGGTAAAGCTCCTCAATTGTTTTACTACAGCACTTGGCCTTATGTACTTCATTACATCCCATCACTGCACACAATAAGTAGAAGATGTTTAATTGAAAGTTTAGACAATACATATCCAGAATGTTTCTATCTTTAAAATATGCATAATATTTAATTGTCATCTTGTTCTCTCCGAGCTGTTTTGATGGCAGAAGCTGATCAGACACAGAGCGAACTCTCCTCAGAGAGAGCGCAGTAGATCTCGGCTAATTGGTCTGATTTGAACGTGAGCGGCGTGCAGACTTCAGACAAACTATTGATTATCTTCGTTCTTATTATCTGAAAACCTCTCTCTGTTCCTCCCTGAAGACAAACGATCAGGCTTTAATCTGCTCGTGCGTTTCTCCCTCTGATGACTCCTCCTCGCTCCCCTGCATCCTAATGCAGCGCCAGCCGGAGCGATACACATCCTGCCAGCCTTTCACAGGCTATAGCTGGGCTCATCTCTCAATGCAAGGACATATTTAAAGGCGTGTGTGTGCGTGGGTGGGAATGTGTGTGTGTGTGTGTGTGTGTGGGTGGGAATGTGTGTTTGACTTCCAACCATTTTAATGAGCCTTTTAAATCTGCCCTTTAGCTCCTTCTGCACAAACGCAGCCAGAATACAGATTGTTGTGATCCTGTCTGGCTCATTTTAACAATGGAGGAATGTAATAAAGTACATTTACTCAAGTACTGTAATTAAGTACAAATGTAAGGTACTTTACTTAACTATTTTCACATCGTGAGACTTTCTACATTTTGGAGACAAATGTTGTACTTTTTCCTCCACTACGTTCATTTTAAAGCTTAAGATACTAGCTATTTTTCCGATTTAAATTATTCATATGAAATACAATTAAACTACTAAATTATGATTTATTATTATAGGTTAAGCTACTCTGCAGTATATGTTGTCAATTCAAATAAACCCAACCTTCAACCCATCAAGTTGAACACTAAAGCAACAACACAATAATGCCTCACCAGATTTCATTGGCAAATATTGTATTTTACATAAATATATAGGAAATTACATATGATGTATACTTCAGGAGAGGAAGGCTGAGAAATGAACCTAAAAACTGACCTTCCTCACCTTATGTTTTAGCAATAAATCAGTACATGCCTGGGCAGTGGTGGACAAAAGCTAATCTAAACTTACTAAGTACAATTTTGATTTGTACTTAAAGGGGACCTATCATGCAAAATGCACTTTTGTACGTCTTTTATACATGAATATGTGTCCCCGGTGTTCCAGGGAACTCACCAAGTGTCAGAAAACACAACCCTCTCTATTTTCCTCCATACCCAAATCTCTAAAAAAAAGGGGCTGCAACGGATCTGATAAAAACTGATCCAGATTTGAACACTGTCCTGACGTCAGGACGGTGGCGCTACGGCTATTGGGCCAACTCCACCAATCAGGAGGAGACAGCCACGGCATTGCCGTTCGAAAACGCTGGAGACGCTGTAGTACATATGCCAGGCCTGTAGATGGTGCTGTTCTCACAGAATCAACCCTTGCCAAAACAGAGCTAGAAAATGTCAAATTGAGCAAAAATGAGGCATGGCTAAAATGCATGATCTGTTTGGTATTTTGAAAAAAAAAAAGTATAAATATGCCTTATATAGGTATGGTCCTACACTATATTATTCAAATATAGCATGATAGGTCCACTTTAACTTGTGTATTTCCATTTCCTGCTATGTTATGTTTTTTCTCCACCAGATTTTATATGCAAATATTGTATTTCACACAAATATATATTTAATTTATTTACACCTTGAGTTTTTTTGTAAGATTCTGATCAATTAGTATTTATTTTATATTAAGATTAGATTGTTTTAATATGTCCTGCATCCTCTATGTTGTTATTATTATTGGCTTTTTAACTTGGCTCATTTACAGCCATGTTTATTAATGTGCATTGTCGTAATACGACGACAAAAAAATGGAAAATATACGTAAAACACAAATGATATATAATGTGTTTTTATGGGTTAAGATAACATTATACTGATTTATTTGTGAATTAAACAAAATATATCAGATCCTCTTATCAGAAGCGACATAAACATGATAAACACATTAAAGCATCACTAATTATAATCCAATAATCTGTACTTTAGGTACATGTGCATGCTTATATATTGTGCACTGGCTTTTAATACTAGTTGAACATTACATTTTTACATTTGTATGTGTTTTTTAAAAATATTTTTCTAGTTATTGTGCTTTTTATCATGTTTTTAATTATTGTTTTATTATTGTACTCCCATTGTGTTATTTAATATGTATTGCCTGTACAGCACTTTGGTCAACTGAAGGTTGTTTTAAATGTGCTATATAAATAAATAAAGATTGAGATTGAGATTATACATAACATTGTGATTACAGGACTTGTACTTGAGCAGAGGTAATCCACTTAGACATCATTAGTCCACTGCTGAGCCTAGTTATATAAAGGTAGAAGAAACAGAAACGGAGAAAGAGTATGTGCTCTACTCAGTATCCTGCAGAGAAAGCGTGAGCTGTAGAAACATGATGAGTACACAGATAGTGTGTGTGAGGGGGGGGGGGAGACAAATAGTGTGTGTGCTCACAGAGCTAATGTTGTTTCGCTCAAGGTCAAAGTGATGCAGATATGACACACACCAGACAACCCTCAATAACACGCGTCTGCACAGTGACCTGTAGAGATACAACATGACACTAGAACGTAGATTTTTACTGACACCATTGTTAAATTACAAACGTAAAAGAAGGACTCTTGAATTTTCCCTTGAAGAGCTATTAGTGTGTTTTATAGGTTTGAGTGCATGTAAATGGTCTGCAAAGGATAACATCTCTGTGATCCCAGAGGGAGTACAAGTAGGAATGCTACAGTGCAAAAATACACAGTTAAGAGTCAAAAGTGTTTGCATTGGATCAAAATATAATGAAGTCACAAAAGTGAAAGTACTCGTTATTCAGTATGAGCCATTTCTGAGTCGTATGTAGTATTTCATTATTGTATTGTAATTAGGGTCATTTAGGTCAATTATCTTAGTTTCTGTCCACCACTGATTTCCTGCTAAAAATAAGCAGAGGAAGGTCAGTTTTTAGGTTCATTTCTCAGCCTTCCTCCCTGAAGGCTGCATCATATTTGATTTCCTCACCTCCACCTCTGGCCTGGCGAGCAGCAGGGACACGTTGGTGCTGTCCTCTCGGGTCAGGAGAGCCACCGCCTCCTCTCTGTCCTGGACGTCCACGCCGTTTATCTGAGAGGAGAGATAAAAAGGAGCTGAAGTCAGAAAACTAATGGGTCTTTAAACCCCAGACTGGATTCAATTAGTTACCCTTCAGGAAATAGGCAGATGAATAGCATGAGTAATGATATTCAGCGTCCTGTGATGAGAGAATTCAGAAGACATGCTGCACTGCTATCAGTTTCTTTAATAAGGCTGGATTCAAAGGGCTCCACTCCAGATGTATTGTGCACCAGGGGTTTCAGTTTGGTCCGTGATATAACAAATTAATAAGTCATAAAAACTGTTGTTGTGAAGAGTTATACAACCCCTGTTTCTATCGTAAAAACACATCTGAACGCCTTGGTAGCTGAATGGTTATGAAAATGCCTCACGACCACACTGGCTTTGCTCTTCTTCCCTTTATCTGTGAAACTAGGAAATGATTCTCCTCGCTACTAGATCTTATTCTGATACATATATATATATACACACACACACACACACACACACACACACACACACACACACACACACACACACACACACACACACTCACACACACACTCACACTAGGGCTGCACGATCTGGGGAAATAATCTAATTGCGATTTTTCTGACAGATATTGCGATTCGATTTGCGATATTTGTTTTTAAGCGACCCAACGGAAGTTTATTGTAAAATGCGGCCATATCTCCGGCTAGGAAGGTCGTATCAACGTGCTCCCGTCTCTAGCACCCCTGCAGCCCGAGCTACGAGTGAAATAACTAAACTTACATGAAACTTCCGTTGGGTTGCTTTAAAGTCAAGCTTCAGTTTCAGATTCACCCTGTAATAGATGTGAAACATGTGATGGAGCATTACTAACCTGACTCAGATGCTTTGTTTCACCAAACCATCTAGGAAAGCTCCATTGGAAGCCATTTGGAAAAGAGCAGGCACTTTCAAAAATACTTGGCAGGTGATTGGATCAATCTGTCTATCACCTTCTATCATGGGCCACTTCTGATTGGTTAACAATGGCTGGTACATGTGGAGCACAGCGATTCTGATTGGTGTGGATGACTGACACACAAGGCTAAATCGCAGGCTTTGCGATTTGATAATTGTCGATTAATCGTTCAGCCCTACACACACACACACACACACACACACACACACACACACACACACACACACACACACACACACACCTCCTGCGTCTCAGAATCAGCTGCAAAATCACTTCATTTTCATCAAGAACATTTTAAGGGATTTTAAATTAATTGAAGCAGAAACACCTGTAGATGTTTTGAACACATTTTGATATCTTATACCTCTCCTACTCTTAGTTTGTCTCCCTTAAATTGTTTGTATTAATGTCTGCAACCGTGTTATTTGTGCTGCTGCTTGTTTTGGCAAGAAAACTCTTGAAAAAGGAGATTTATAATCATTCTCGTTTTTACCTATAAATAGTAGAAATAATAGAATAGAATGAAATAGAAAGCCTTTATTGTCATTGTAAATATGCAATGAGGTGTTGCAGTGCAACAGTGAGCAAACGAAAACAGACAAACAATACAGAATAATAAAGACAAGAAATATTATTAATGGCATGACATAAAGTCATCTTATCCCCACTCTAATATCTAGAAACCTACCTGTAGGATTCTGTCTCCTTTGCGGATGCGTCCATCTATCGCAGCGATGCTGTTGGGGTTCACCTGGAGGAAAGAAGTAAGATTTGTTGTTTAGTGTAAAGAAATAGGAAATGTTAAATAAAATGTTTCATCTCACTTACATCTCCCACATATATCCCCAGGTCCTCCTCATCATCCGTCCTGTAACACACCGTCAGCCCCAGTTTGTCCTGCTGACGACATTTATACAGCTCCACCTCCTGAGGCAAAAGAAGAGAGATAACAGTAGAGTTTTAATCTAAAGTCTCCCCTCGTACATTAGTAGAGTTTAAATGTATAGAGAGGCGAAGTCCCTACTTCCGACCCATGGGACCTTATTTCGGAAAAAGTATGTATTGAAGTCAATGGAGAGAGAAAGATTATCTCTCGATCCCGTTTGAATTGTGCCACGAATTACACATCTGATGTTTGTCAATTTAAAAGATAATTTTGCAAGTTAAAAAAATTAAAATGTGTGGTAAAACTGTGAAGTAACACTTTTTTTGGTGTGAACCGCTCAATGAACTACATCTCCCGTCTCGCACCACACACCAAGACGGCCGTCACGTTGGCACATTTCACTTCTTTCTTTCAGAATGAGGCGTAAAGTATTAAAAGAGGTGAAAATCACTCCACGTCTGGGCATGTTGAGAGCTGTACATACACACAAGGGGAGTTAGTCGGTTCCTAAGAGCCAGCATGCGGGACCGGGAATCTGGGATCTGTAGTCTTTCTAGTTGCATATTTTTCATAGTCTTATATTTCAACAGTTTTACGACAAACTGTGACTTTTTTGACATGGAAATGATTTTTTAAGATTGACAAACATTATGTGTAATTCATGGCACAATTCAAACGGGATCGAAAGATAATCTTTCTCTCCCCATTGACTTCAATACATCATTTTTCCGAAATAAGGTCCCATGGGTCGGAAGTAGATGGGCGGGACTTCGCCTCTCTATATATTTGAAGACCCTCACCTCGTACTCCAGCTCGTCCTGGCGGTCCACTTCATGCTGAGCGATGTCGAAGTAATCCGTGGGGTCGTAGTAAACCGGCTCTATGAAGCTGAGGAGGTTAAGTAAACAACCAAATATTTTAGTAATCAGGGCTTTAAACCTCAACAACAACTTGAGAAACAAAGGCAGGGAATGACCAAGAAGATATGACATGGAACATAACAAACATAACAAGACAAAACAATATAAACTGGGACTTAAATGTGTGTAATTGCTCAGTGTTTAATCCCTTAACTACTGCAGGCATGTTTGTGTGAATAAAAATAAAAATATCTAGATGTTAAAACAAGGAAGGAATAATAATTATAATAATTGTTCACATGACTATAATCTACATTTCCTCTATATTAATGTTTCTTGTTTTTGCAATAGTTGCTTTAATTTGAACATTATACTTAAGTTATGCACAAGAAAAACTTGTTTTCTGATAGAAATAATAATAAATACATAAATACATACAAACGAACAAATAAATAAATAAGTAGTTTGGCAAGTATAAATGTCAGTAATTGTAGCATCAACTTCAAACTTGAGATGTGTAAACAAAAAGCCATGGACTATTGTTGGGAAAATACTGAATGTCCTCTTCCAATATGAGAGTACACATGCTAACAAAGGTATCCCAACTGCAGCTGTGTACATGACAGGATGTATGATTACCTAGAAGAGCATCAGGACTGTTTTAGGCATATGATAGCTATGTGATTAACATGATGATTCAGCCTCTATGGAGATAGACATATGACAAGCATGATCATTTCTGACGTGGAGCTAATCTGAAGTAAACATTGAATACTGCTTTCTATTCCTCCATCTTGTGACTGTGTAACTCCCTCTCTTGGATATCAGCATGTGAAGGACACTGTTCAGGAACTAGTTGATGCTCTGTATGTGATGACTACTTCCATTCTGGAGAGGATCACAAATACATGGATCCTGAGATTGAAGCTCAAGACGGTGACGAGTGAGATTTTTCTAACAACTATAATCTAAACGTCCGATGAGCTGACACAATTTTTTGACAGCGATAATATCCTCACAGTTCATCGAAGAGATACGGCAGCGGCGGCAGCGGGGGGGGGAGGGCGGGGTGTCGGGGGGCGGGGGGGCTCCACAGGGATGCTGACTCCTCCCCAGAGTCAACATGTGCTGGAAGCTGATGTCTGTCTGCGTGCAGCTGTCCACACAGTCGGCCGTTCCCATGGTTACTGGCATCAGAGCACCGGGGGCCCCCATCAGCCCGGCTCTCCTCCGGGCCCCCCCCCGCAGGAGGCTGGACAACACGGGGTCCAGGGGGGGGTCTCCAGAGAGCCGCGATAGAGCCTTTCCATTCACCTTGGGGGGGGGGGGGGGGGGGGGGGAGAAAGGAGAGAGGGAGTCAAATCGTGATGAATCGCATTTTAACATCAAATTTAAAATGGCCGACTTCCTGTACGTTTTTTTATACACCTCCAAGAGGCTTTTTTGGTTTGATTCCGCACCCTAGATATACGCATCGATTTTTGTTCGTTTACGTGAAAGTGAAAGTGGGGGGAGTTTACGTTAAAAACTGAAGTGGGCGTGGCCTATACGCAATTTTGTACGCAAAGTTCCGGAACCCATTTCACACGTCTATTTTCACCAGTCCTGACGCGCGTGCACATTTAGGTGAGTTTTCATATATGTTGCGACGGGGGTCAAATTTGCGTTCAAAGTGTAAAAATAATAATAATCCTATCGATATCAATAATTAATTGTCTGACGTGGGCGCATTCGAGCGTGTGTGTTCGCGTGTGTCTCCCATGTTGTGATGTGTATTTCTGTGCTTTCGCCCGTCGTTTTTTCCCAATGTTTTTGTGTGTTTTGCTGTGCGAGCGATTACAATAGGGTCTTCGCCGACCTCTGGTCTCAGACCCTAATTACACAATTTACAAAAATACACATCCTGTAACAGTTCTGAGAGATATAGCAGCCAGGTATATATTGCACAGTTAATAGGCGCGTTCACACCGGAGTACTTTTCCCCGTACTTTTCCCGTTTAGTTCCGTTAGTACCCCTTATGTTGCCCCATTTGTAGTGCCTGCTAGAGAGGTGGTACCAAAAAAGTACCAATTTCTATTGGCTGGGCGAATTGCAAACCACACCCCGTAAAACTCTGAAAAGTTTTGTGAAGCCGCCATTGTATTTGTGGCATTAGCATTATTAGCATTAGCATTAGCCCCGCGCACCAACGGAGACAGAATAACGGGGAGTCCCAGCAGCTTCTACTGAAGCCAGTCCCCAACTCCGGGGACTTCCGGCCGGGGACTTCGGGTGGCAGTATACGCCGTGAAGTTGTTTGTGGCCTGCCAGTAAACCCAAAGCAGAAGAAGACGAAGTGACGTCAGCGGCTCATTTGCTTAATCTTCCCTCAGGGAACTTATTCCGGTGTGAACGCGATCTGTACTTAGTTCCCTGGCACTAAGTGCCGGCACTTAGTACGGCAAAGTACTTGGTGTGAAAGCGGCTATTAACGGCATATATATATATATTGCACATACTGTAGGGAGAGGAGGAGAGGAGGGGGATTAAAGGAGGGTTAGTGGTACAGGTGAAGAAAGAAAGACAAAAATGACAACAAGAAACAGACAAAGATTTGGAAACTGTATCTGTATCTACTTGGTTTCTTAACTTTAAACTATAGATGCTGAGATGTTCAACAGGAAGGCAGTGGAGGAGAGTCACTAAAGTCAACTAAACTCAAAATGCAGTTCCTTTAGTTCATCAGAGTTCCTGTAGTTCATCAGAGTTCCTTTAGTTCATCAGAGTTCCTTTAGTTCATCAGAGTTCCTGTAGTCCATCAGAGTTCCTGTAGTTCATCAGAGTTCCTTTAGTTCATCAGAGTTCCTGTAGTTCATCAGAGTTCCTGTAGTTCATCAGAGTTCCTTTAGTTCATCAGAGTTCCTTTAGTTCATCAGAGTTCCTGTAGTTCATCAGAGTTCCTGTAGTTCATCAGAGTTCCTGTAGTTCATCAGAGTTCCTGTAGTTCATCAGAGTTCCTGTAGTTCATCAGAGTTCCTGTAGTTCATCAGAGTTCCTTTAGTTCATCAGAGTTCCTGTAGTTCATCAGAGTTCCTGTAGTTCATCAGAGTTCCTGTAGTTCATCAGAGTTCCTTTAGTTCATCAGAGTTCCTGTAGTTCATCAGAGTTCCTTTAGTTCATCAGAGTTCCTGTAGTTCATCAGAGTTCCTGTAGTTCATCAGAGTTCCTGTAGTTCATCAGAGTTCCTGTAGTTCATCAGAGTTCCTGTAGTTCATCAGAGTTCCTGTAGTTCATCAGAGTTCCTGTAGTTCATCAGAGTTCCTTTAGTTCATCAGAGTTCCTGTAGTTCATCAGAGTTCCTTTAGTTCATCAGAGTTCCTGTAGTTCATCAGAGTTCCTGTAGTTCATCAGAGTTCCTGTAGTTCATCAGAGTTCCTGTAGTTCATCAGAGTTCCTGTAGTTCATCAGAGTTCCTGTAGTTCATCAGAGTTCCTGTAGTTCATCAGAGTTCCTGTAGTTCATCAGAGTTCCTGTAGTTCATCAGAGTCGTGTCTCTGCTCCTCCTGATTGGAAACACTGTTATCTTTCCTTTTTTGTGGATTCTCTTTCCAGATATATTCAGATAACATATGCTGGACATTTTCCTCCAAAGGGGATTCATTTCAAGAGGCCCTATTTTGCTTTTTGGGGGTTTTCTCTTTCCTGTAGTGTGTTATTATGTTTTAGTGCATGTAAATGGTCTGCAGAGGCTGAAATCCCTGTGTTCCCTCCAGAGAGTTTCTCTCACCCTCTTGAGTTGATGAGAGGAGACAGACAGCTCATGATGATGTTTGCAGACGTCCTTTGTGGAGTTTCATTCACTCTCAGTCTCTGACCTTGGCTGTCTGACTCTCCACATCTGTAAGCCTCTCTCTCTCTCTCTCTCTCTCTCTCTCTCTCTCTCTCTCTCTCCCCCCCTCTCTCTCCTCTTGTCCCCTTCCAGTAATTGCATGTCAAATCAATGTTCCCCTGTGCAGCCGAGCACAGAAACTGTCTTGATACATTCAGCCCTTTGCTCCCTGTGGTCTCCATCAAACCATCACACCAGCACCACCGTCACACCACTGTCACACCACTGTCACCATTACACCATCACACCACTACCACCATCACACCACTACCACCATCACACCAGCACCATTTGTATTTTATTATATATGTTGCATTGTTGGAGGAGCTCAGGTCAGAAGAATTTAATTGCTATTTCTACACTGTAGCTTTGTGCATATGACAATAAAACCTTTGAATCTTTGAATCTTGAACCATCACTCCACCATCACTCCACCACCACCACCATCACACCACCACCATCACACCACCACCATCACACCACCATCACTCCACCACCACCACCATCATCACACCACCATCACACCACCACCACCACCATCACACCACCACCACCATTACACCATCACACATACTTGCCAACCTTGAGACCTCAGAAATCGGGAGCATTTCCAAAACCACCGCGGGGGGGGGGGGCTAGTGGATCGCCGGAGCTGTATTAGATTAACATTAACATGCTTATTGTAGTTGTAAGTGCACTGCCTTGCGGCCTGTAGCACCATATGTGTGGGCTGGACCTGTATTTACAGGAAAGGAGTGAGCAGAGGGTAGAATTGTCGATTCTTGTTCTGTTTGCTGTGACTATCTTCCTCACCCTCTCAGACTTTCAGTTGCGCGCGCTACGCTACCATGGAAACCAAACAATGGTGTAGCTGTATTAAAGTCCGAGTGGAAACAGTCCTGAGTAAATCTGATTTTGTCAGAAATCGGGAGAAATGCGGGAGAAATATGACCCCGGGAGGAAACCGGGAGAGGGCAATGAAATCGGGAGTCTCCCGCGAAAATCGGGAGGGTTGGCAAGTATGCCATCACACCACCACCACCATCACACCACCACCACCATTACACCATCACACCACCATCACACCATCACACACACCAACACAACATCACACCATCACACCACCACCACCATCACACTACCACCACCATTACACCATCACACCACCACCATTACACCACCACCACCATTACACCATCACACCACCATCACACCACCACCATTACACCATCACCACCATCACTCCACCACTACCACCACCACCATCACACCATCATCACACCACCACCACACCACCATCACACCACCACCACCATTACACCATCACACCACCACCATTACACCATCACACCACCACCACCATCACCACCACACCATTACACCACCACCACCATTACACCATCACACCACCACCACCACCACCATCACACCACCACCACCACCATTACACCACCACCACCACCATTACACCACCACCACACCATTACACCATCACACCACCACCACCATCACACCACCATTACACCATCACACCACCATCACACCACCATCACCATTACACCATCACACCACCATCTCACCAGCACCATCACACCATCACACCACCATCTCACCAGCACCATCACACCATCACCACCCCATCTCACCAGCACCATCACACCATCACACCACCATCTCACCAGCACCATCACACCACCATCACACCAGCACCATCAGCCCTCTGGTTTATCTCCTCTCTGCTCGGCCAATGTAGTTTCCATGTTCACATGTATTCCCCTCTCTAATCTCTTTCTCCATCCCTCACCATTTCTCCCGAAGAGGACAAAGGGCCTGACATAACGGTAAAAAGGAACATTTGTTTCATGTCAAAAATAAGGGCAGCTTTTCAGAATTACTGCCAAGTATTAAATAAATGTTGAAAGGGACGTTTTTTTTTTTTTAATGTTGTGAAATTGTGGAGAACAAAGTCACACGTTCAGTATAAGAACCAGGCAGTGGGAACACTCAAATAAAACAGGTTTTCTTTGGTTGTTTGATATTATAATAAAATCGAAGTGTTGCAAATATCCAACACTCAAAACTAATTGAGAATAAAGTCACATTTAGAGTACCAGGGCCAGTGTAAGTGGGAACAATTAAAGGAGTGTTTCTTGCAACCTTGAGAATCTGTAAAAAACTAGAAAGCATTAACAAAACAAATTGATAGGGATTTTTTTTAACATTTTGTCAGTTTGTGGAGAACAAGGTCAAACATTCAGTAAAACAATACAAATCAGAGGTGGATGTTTTTAGAGGAAAAAATCAAGATGTTGAGAATGAAGTTAAAGTGTTAAACATAACATTTGAATGTTGAATGTTTCAATATCCAGAACAAATCCAAAAGTTGAGAATAAAGTGGAGAGTATTAGGGCCAGGAATAAAGGCAAACATGGAGAGGAGAAACAA